TCCACGTCCATGTCCACGTCCACGTCCACGTCCATGTCACGTCCACGTCCACGTCCACGGTCCATGTCCACGTCCACGTCCACGTCCACGTCCACGTCCATGTCCATGTCCACGTCCATGTCCACGACCACGTCCATGTCCACGTCCATGTCCACGTCCATGTGCACGTCCATGTCCACAGTCATACGTCCACGTCCATGTCCAGACCACGTCACGTCCACGTCCGTGCCACGTCCAACCTCCACGTCCACGTCCACCTCCACGTCCCACGTCCACGTCCACGTCCACATCCACGTCCATGTCCACGTCCACGTCCACATCCACGTCCATGTCCACGTCCATGTCCACGTTCACGTTCATGTCCACGTCCACGTCCACGTCCATGTCCACGTCCAAGCCTACATGTCCACGTCCACGTCTAGTTCAACGTCCACGGTTCCACGTCCATGTCCACGTCCACGTCCAAGTCCATGTCCACGTCCAAGTCCACGTCCACGTCCATGTCCAGTCCAAGTTCCTGTCCACGTCCACGTCCACGTCCACGTCCACGTCCACGTCCACGTCCATGTCCACGTCCACGTCCACGTCCATGTCCACGTCCACGTCCACGTCCACGTCCACGTCCATGTCCACGTCCATGTCCACGTCTACGTCCATGTCCACATCCATGTCCACGTCCATGTCCACGTCCATGTCCACGTCCACGTCCATGTCCACGTCCACGTCCACGTCCAGTACACGTCCACGTCCACGTCCCACGTCCATGTCCACGTCCACGTCCACGTCCATGTCGACGTCCACTCCACGTCCATGTCCACGTCCACGTCCATGTCATGTCCACGTCCATGTCCACGTCCACGTCCATGTCCACGTCCACGTCCACGTCCACGTGTCCATGTCCACGTCCACGTCCACGTCCACGTCCACGTCCATGTCCACGTCCATGTCCATGTCCACGTCCATGTCCAAGTCCACGTCCACGTCCACGTCCACGTCCATATCCAGTCCACGTCCACGTCTCCACGTCCACCGTCACGTCCACGTCCACCTCCACGTCCCGTCACGTCCACGTCCACGTCCTCCACGTCCACGCAAAGTCCCCACGTCCACGTCCTCGTCCACGTCCACGTCCACGTCCATGTCCACGTCCACGTCCACATCCACGTCCATATCCACGTCCATGTCCACCTCCACGTCCACGTCCACGTCCACGTCCACGTCCACGTCCATGTCCACGTCCAAGGCCTCCATGTCCACGTCCACGTCGACGTCCACGTCCACGTCCACGTCCACGTCCATGTCCACATCCACGTCCAAGTCCATGTCCACGTCCACGTGCACGTCCACGTCCACGTCCACGTCCACGTCCACGTCCATGTCCACGTCCAAGTCCTCCACGTCCACGGTCCACGTCCATGTCCACGTCCACGTCCTTATAGTGTGTCCATGTCCACGTCCACGTCCACGTCCACGTCCATGGTCCACGCCACGTCCATGTCCAACGTCCACGTCCATGTCCACGTCCATGTCCACGTCACGTCCATGTCCACGTCCATGTCCAGTCCACGTCCACGTCCATGTCCACGTCCACGTCCACGTCCATGTCCACGTCTATGTCCACGTCCACGTCCCACGTCCATGTCGACGTCCACGTCCACGTCCATGTCCACATCCATGTCCACATCCACGTCCACGTCCCACGTCCATGTCGACGTCTCATGTCCACATCCACGTCCATATCCACGTCCATGTCGACGTCCACGTCCACGTCCACGTCCATGTACCACGTCCCATGTCTACGTCCACGCTCCACGTCCACGTCCATGTCCACGTCCAAGTCCTCCACGTCCACGTCCACGTCCATGTCCACGTCTACGTCCACGTCCATGTCCACGTCCACGTCCACGTCCACGTCCACGTCCATGTCCACGTCCACGTCCATGTCCACGTCCATGTCCACGTCCACGTCCACGTCCCACGTCCATAACCACGTCCACTGACACGTCCACGTCCACGGTCATAGACCACGTCACGACCAGTCCATGTCCACGTCCACGTCCAGTGTCCACGTCCATGTCCATGTCCACGTCCATGTCCACGTCTACGTCCATGTCCACATCCACGTCCACGTCCACGTCCACATGCATGTCCACGTCCATGTCCACGTCCATGTCCATCTCCACGGTCCAGTCCAAGTCCATGTCCACGTCCACGTCCATGTCCACGTCCATGTCCATGTCCACGTCCATGTCCACGTCTATGTCCACGTCCCTGTCCACGTCCATGTCCACGTCCACGTCCACGACCATGTCCACGTCCACGTCCACGTTCCACGTCCACGTCCACGACCATGTCCACGTCCCACGTCCACGTCCAGGTCCACGTCCACGCACCACGTCCACGTCCACGTCCACGGTCCCGTCCAAGTCCACGTCCACGTCCACGACCGTCCACGTCCACGTCCACAGTCTACGTCCACGTCCACGTCCAAGTCCTCCACGTCCACGTCCATGTCATCTCACGTCCAGTCCACGTCCATGTCCACGTCCACGTCCACGTCCACGTCCATGTCCACGTCCACGTCCACGTCCACGTCCACGTCCATGTCCATGTCCACGTCCATGTCCACGACCACGTCCATGTCCACGTCCATGTCCACGTCCATGTGCACGTCCATGTCCACGTCAACGTCCACGTCCATGTCCACGTTCCACGTCCACGTCCACGTCCACATCCGTGCCACGTCCACTTCCACGTCCATGTCGACATCCACGTCCATGTCCACGTCCATGTCCACGTCCATGTTCACGTCCACGTCCACGTCTACGTCCACGTCCATGTCCATGTCCACGTCCACGTCCACGTCCACGTCCATGTCCACATCCATGTCCATGTCCACGTCCACGTCCATGTCTACGTCGACGTCCATGTCCACGTCCATGTCGACGTCCACGTCCACGTCCACGTCCACGTCCATGTCCACGTCCATGTCCACGTCCACGTCCACGTCCACGTCCACGTCCATGTCCACGTCCAAGTCCTCCACGTCCACGTCCACGTCCACGTCCATGTCCACGTCCACGTCCATGTCCACGTCCATGTCCACGTCCACGTCCACATCCATGTCCACGTCCACGTCCACGTCCACTTCCATGTCCACGTCCAAGTCCTCCACGTCCACGTCCACGTCCACGTCCATGTCCATGTCCACGTCCACGTCAACGTCCATGTCCACGTCCACGTCCACGTCCACGTCCATGTCCATGTCCACGTTCATGTCCACGTCCACGTCCATGTCCACGTCCACGTCCACGTCCACGTCCATGTCCACGTCCACGTCCACGTCCACGTCCACGTCCATGTCCACAACCATGTCCATGTCCACGTCCATGTCCACGTCTACGTCCACGTCCACGTCCATATCCACGTCCACGTCCACGTCCACGTCCACCTCCACGTCCACGTCCACGTCCACGTCCATGTCCACGTCCAAGTCCTCCACGTCCACGTCCACGTCCATGTCCACGTCCACGTCCACGTCCACGTCCATGTCCACGTCCACGTCCACATCCACGTCCATGTCCACGTCCATGTCCACGTCCACGTCCATGTCCACCGTCCACGTCCACGTCCATGTCCACGTCCAAGGCCTCCATGTCCACGTCCACGTCTATGTCCACGTCCACGTCCACGTCCATGTCCACGTCCACGTCCATGTCCACGTCCAAGTCCACCACGTCCACGTCCACGTCCATGTCCACGTCCACGTCCACGTCCATGTCCACGTCCACGTCCACGTCCACGTCCATGTCCACGTCCACGTCCACGTCCACGTCCACGTCCATGTCCATGTCCACGTCCATGTCCACGACCACGTCCATGTCCACGTCCATGTCCACGTCCATGTGCACGTCCATGTCCACGTCAACGTCCACGTCCATGTCCACGACCACGTCCACGTCCACGTCCACGTCCGTGCCACGTCCACTTCCACGTCCATGTCCACGTCCACGTCCATGTCCACGTCCATGTCCACGTCCATGTTCACGTCCACGTCCACGTCTACGTCCACGTCCATGTCCATGTCCACGTCCACGTCCACGTTCATGTCCACATCCATGTCCATGTCCACGTCCACGTCCATGTCCACGTCGACGTCCATGTCCACGTCCATGTCGACGTCCACGTCCACGTCCACGTCCACGTCCATGTCCACGTCCATGTCCACGTCCACGTCCACGTCCACGTCCATGTCCACGTCCAAGTCCTCCACGTCCACGTCCACGTCCACGTCCATGTCCACGTCCACGTCCACGTCCATGTCCACGTCCATGTCCACGTCCACGTCCACATCCATGTCCACGTCCACGTCCACGTCCACTTCCATGTCCACGTCCAAGTCCTCCACGTCCACGACCACGTCCACGTCCATGTCCGTCCACGTCCACGTCCATGTCCACGTCCACGTCCATGTCCACGTCCATGTCCACGTCCACGTCCATGTCCACGTCCAAGTCCATGTCCACGTCCACGTCCATTTCCACGTCCATGTCCACGTACACGTCCATGTCCACGTACACGTCCACGTCCACGTCCACGTCCATATCCACGTCCACGTCCACGTCCACGTCCACCTCCACGTCCACGTCCACGTCCATGTCCACATCCATGTCCATGTCCACGTCCACGTCCATGTCCACGTCGACGTCCATGTCCACGTCCATGTCGACGTCCACGTCCACGTCCACGTCCACGTCCATGTCCACGTCCATGTCCACGTCCACGTCCACGTCCACGTCCATGTCCACGTCCAAGTCCTCCACGTCCACGTCCACGTCCATGTCCACGTCCACGTCCACGTCCATGTCCACGTCCATGTCCACGTCCACGTCCACATCCATGTCCACGTCCACGTCCACGTCCACTTCCATGTCCACGTCCAAGTCCTCCACGTCCACGACCACGTCCACGTCCATGTCCGTCCACGTCCACGTCCATGTCCACGTCCACGTCCATGTCCACGTCCATGTCCACGTCCACGTCCATGTCCACGTCCAAGTCCATGTCCACGTCCACGTCCATGTCCACGTCCATGTCCACATACACGTCCATGTCCACGTACACGTCCACGTCCACGTCCACGTCCATATCCACGTCCACGTCCACGTCCACGTCCACCTCCACGTCCACGTCCACGTCCATGTCCACGTCCAAGTCCTCCACGTCCACGTCCACGTCCATGTCCACGTCCACGTCCACGTCCACGTCCACATCCACGTCCATGTCCACGTCCACGTCCACATCCACGTCCATGTCCACGTCCATGTCCACGTCCACGTTCATGTCCACGTCCACGTCCACGTCCATGTCCACGTCCAAGGCCTCCATGTCCACGTCCACGTCTATGTCCACGTCCACGTCCACGTCCATGTCCACGTCCACGTCCAAGTCCATGTCCACGTCCACGTCCACGTCCACGTCCATGTCCACGTCCAAGTCCTCCACGTCCACGTCCACGTCCATGTCCACGTCCACGTCCATGTCCACGTCCACGTCCTCGTCTACGTCCATGTCCACGTCCACGTCCACGTCCACGTCCACGTCCATGTCCACGTCCATGTCCACGTCCACGTCCATGTCCACGTCCATGTCCACGTCCATGTCCACGTCCATGTCCACGTCCATGTCCACGTCCACGTCCACGTCCACGTACACGTCCACGTCCACGTCCACGTCCATGTCCACGTCCACGTCCACGTCCATGTCGACGTCCACGTCCATGTCCATGTCCACGTCCACGTCCATGTCCATGTCCATGTCCACGTCCATGTCCACGTCCACGTCCATGTCCACGTCCACGTCCACGTCCACGTCCATGTCCACGTCCACGTCCACGTCCACGTCCACGTCCATGTCCACGTCCATGTCCATGTCCACGTCCATGTCCACGTCCACGTCCACGTCCACGTCCACGTCCATATCCACGTCCACGTCCACGTCCACGTCCACCTCCACGTCCACGTCCACGTCCACGTCCACGTCCTCCACGTCCACGTCCAAGTCCTCCACGTCCACGTCCACGTCCACGTCCACGTCCATGTCCACGTCCACGTCCACATCCACGTCCATATCCACGTCCATGTCCACGTCCACGTCCACGTCCACGTCCACGTCCATGTCCACGTCCAAGGCCTCCATGTCCACGTCCACGTCCACGTCCACGTCCACGTCCACGTCCACGTCCATGTCCACATCCACGTCCAAGTCCATGTCCACGTCCACGTGCACGTCCACGTCCACGTCCACGTCCACGTCCACGTCCATGTCCACGTCCAAGTCCTCCACGTCCACGTCCACGTCCATGTCCACGTCCACGTCCACGTCCATGTCCACGTCCACGTCCACGTCCACGTCCATGTCCACGTCCACGTCTATGTCCACGTCCACGTCCACGTCCATGTCCACGTCCATGTCCACGTCCACGTCCATGTCCACGTCCATGTCCACGTCCATGTCCACGTCCATGTCCACGTCCACGTCCACGTCCATGTCCACGTCCACGTCCACGTCCACGTCTATGTCCACGTCCACGTCCACGTCCATGTCGACGTCCACGTCCACGTCCATGTCCACATCCATGTCCACATCCACGTCCACGTCCACGTCCATGTCGACGTCCATGTCCACATCCACGTCCATGTCCACGTCCATGTCGACGTCCACGTCCACGTCCACGTCCATGTCCACGTCCATGTCTACGTCCACGTCCACGTCCACGTCCATGTCCACGTCCAAGTCCTCCACGTCCACGTCCACGTCCATGTCCACGTCTACGTCCATGTCCACGTCCACGTCCACGTCCACGTCCACGTCCATGTCCACGTCCACGTCCATGTCCACGTCCATGTCCACGTCCACGTCCACGTCCACGTCCACGTCCATAACCATGTCCACGACCACGTCCATGTCCACGTCCACGTCCATGTCCACGTCCATGTCCATGTCCACGTCCATGTCCACGTCCACGTCCATGTCCACATCCACGTCCACGTCCACGTCCACATGCATGTCCACGTCCATGTCCACGTCCATGTCCATCTCCACGTCCACGTCCACGTCCAAGTCCATGTCCACGTCCACGTCCATGTCCACGTCCATGTCCATGTCCATGTCCATGTCCACGTCCATGTCCACGTCTATGTCCACGTCCCTGTCCACGTCCATGTCCACGTCCACGTCCACGACCATGTCCACGTCCACGTCCACGTCCACGTCCACGACCGGGTCCACGTCCACGTCCACGTCCAGGTCCACGTCCACGACCACGTCCACGTCCACGTCCACGTCCACGTCCAAGTCCACGTCCACGTCCACGACCGTCAACGTCCACGTCCACGTCTACGTCCACGTCCACGTCCAAGTCCTCCACGTCCACGTCCATGTCCATCTCCACGTCCACGTCCACGTCCATGTCCACGTCCACGTCCACGTCCATGTCCACGTCCACGTCCACGTCCACGTCCACGTCCATGTCCACGTCCATGTCCACGACCACGTCCATGTCCACGTCCATGTCCACGTCCATGTGCACGTCCATGTCCACGTCAACGTCCACGTCCATGTCCACGTCCACGTCCACGTCCACGTCCGTGCCACGTCCACTTCCACGTCCATGTCGACATCCACGTCCATGTCCACGTCCATGTCCACGTCCATGTTCACGTCCACGTCCACGTCTACGTCCACGTCCATGTCCATGTCCACGTCCACGTCCACGTCCACGTCCATGTCCACATCCATGTCCATGTCCACGTCCACGTCCATGTCTACGTCGACGTCCATGTCCACGTCCATGTCGACGTCCATGTCCACGTCCACGTCCACGTCCATGTCCACGTCCATGTCCACGTCCACGTCCACGTCCACGTCCACGTCCATGTCCACGTCCAAGTCCTCCACGTCCACGTCCACGTCCACGTCCATGTCCACGTCCACGTCCACGTCCATGTCCACGTCCATGTCCACGTCCACGTCCACATCCATGTCCACGTCCACGTCCACGTCCACTTCCATGTCCACGTCCAAGTCCTCCACGTCCACGACCACGTCCACGTCCATGTCCGTCCACGTCCATGTCCACGTCCACGTCCATGTCCACGTCCATGTCCACGTCCACGTCCATGTCTACGTCCACGTCCATGTCCACGTCCACGTCCATGTCCACGTCCATGTCCACGTACACGTCCATGTCCACGTACACGTCCACGTCCACGTCCATATCCACGTCCACGTCCACGTCCACGTCCACCTCCACGTCCACGTCCACGTCCATGTCCACGTCCAAGTCCTCCACGTCCACGTCCACGTCCATGTCCACGTCCACGTCCACGTCCACGTCCACGTCCACGTCCATGTCCACGTCCACGTCCACATCCACGTCCATGTCCACGTCCATGTCCACGTCCACGTTCATGTCCACGTCCACGTCCACGTCCATGTCCACGTCCAAGGCCTCCATGTCCACGTCCACGTCTATGTCCACGTCCACGTCCACGTCCATGTCCACGTCCACCTCCAAGTCCATGTCCACGTCCACCTCCACGTCCACGTCCATGTCCACGTCCAAGTCCTCCACGTCCACGTCCACGTCCATGTCCACGTCCACGTCCACGTCCATGTCCACGTCCACGTCCACGTCCACGTCCATGTCCACGTCCACGTCCACGTCCACGTCCACGTCCATGTCCACGTCCATGTCCACGTCCACGTCCATGTCCACGTCCATGTCCACGTCCATGTCCACGTCCATGTCCACGTCCATGTCCACGTCCACGTCCACGTCCACGTACACGTCCACGTCCACGTCCACGTCCATGTCCACGTCCACGTCCACGTCCATGTCGACGTCCACGTCCATGTCCATGTCCACGTCCACGTCCATGTCTATGTCCACGTCCATGTCCACGTCCACGTCCACGTCTACGTCCACGTCCACGTCCACGTCCACGTCCATGTCCACGTCCATGTCCACGTCCACGTCCACGTCCACGTCCACGTCCATATCCACGTCCACGTCCACGTCCACGTCCACCTCCACGTCCACGTCCACGTCCACGTCCACGTCCATGTCCACGTCCAAGTCCTCCACGTCCACGTCCACGTCCACGTCCATGTCCACGTCCACGTCCACATCCACGTCCATATCCACGTCCATGTCCACGTCCACGTCCATGTCCACGTCCACGTCCACGTTCACGTCCATGTCCACGTCCAAAGCCTCCATGTCCACGTCCACGTCTATGTCCACGTCCACGTCCACGTCCATGTCCACATCCACGTCCAAGTCCATGTCCACGTCCACGTGCACGTCCACGTCCACGTCCACGTCCACATCCATGTCCACGTCCAAGTCCTCCACGTCCACGTCCACGTCCATGTCCACGTCCACGTCCACGTCCATGTCCACGTCCACGTCCACGTCCACGTCCATGTCCACGTCCACGTCCACGTCCAGTCCACGTCCACGTCCATGTCCACGTCCATGTCCACGTCCATGTCCACGTCCATGTCCACGTCCATGTCCACGTCCACGTCCACGTCCATGTCCACGTCCACGTCCACGTCCACGTCCACGTCTATGTCCACGTCCACGTCCACGTCCATGTCGACATCCACGTCCACGTCCATGTCCACATCCATGTCCACATCCACGTCCATGTCGACGTCCATGTCCACATCCACGTCCATGTCCACGTCCATGTCGACGTCCACGTCCACGTCCACGTCCATGTCCACGTCCATGTCTACGTCCACGTCCACGTCCACGTCCATGTCCACGTCCAAGTCCTCCACGTCCACGTCCATGTCCATGTCCACGTCTACGTCCACGTCCATGTCCACGTCCACGTCCACGTCCATGTCCACGTCCACGTCCACGTCCACGTCCACGTCCACGTCCATGTCCACGTCCACGTCCATGTCCACGTCCATGTCCACGTCCACGTCCACGTCCATAACCACGTCCACGACCACGTCCATGTCCACGTCCACGTCCATGTCCACGTCCATGTCCATGTCCACGTCCATGTCCACGTCCACGTCCATGTCCACATCCACGTCCACGTCCATGTCCACGTCCATGTCCACGTCCATGTCCACGTCCATGTCCACGTCCACGTCCACGTCCACGTCCACGTCCATGTCCACGTCCACGTCCACATCCACGTCCATATCCACGTCCATGTCCACGTCCACGTCCATGTCCACGTCCACGTCCACGTCCATGTCCACGTCCAAGGCCTCCATGTCCACGTCCACGTCCATGTCCACGTCCATGTCCACATCCACGTCCAAGTCCATGTCCACGTCCACGTGCACGTCCACGTCCACGTCCACGTCCACGTCCACGTCCATGTCCACGTCCAAGTCCTCCACGTCCACGTCCACGTCCATGTCCACGTCCACGTCCACGTCCATGTCCACGTCCACGTCCACGTCTACGTCCATGTCCACGTCCACGTCCATGTCCACGTTCACGTCCACGTCCATGTACACGTCCATGTCCACGTCCACGTCCATGTCCACGTCCATGTCCACGTCCATGTCCACGTCCATGTCCACGTCCACGTCCACGTCCATGTCCACGTCCACGTCCACGTCCACGTCCACGTCTATGTCCACGTCCACGTCCACGTCCATGTCGACGTCCACGTCCACGTCCATGTCCACATCCATGTCCACATCCACGTCCACGTCCACGTCCATGTCAACGTCCATGTCCACATCCACGTCCATGTCCACGTCCATGTCGACGTCCACGTCCACGTCCACGTCCATGTCCACGTCCATGTCTACGTCCACGTCCACGTCCACGTCCATGTCCACGTCCAAGTCCTCCACGTCCACGTCCATGTCCATGTCCACGTCTACGTCCACGTCCATGTCCACGTCCACGTCCACGTCCATGTCCACGTCCACGTCCACGTCCACGTCCATGTCCACGTCCACGTCCATGTCCACGTCCATGTCCACGTCCACGTCCACGTCCACGTCCATAACCACGTCCACGACCATGTCCATGTCCACGTCCACGTCCATGTCCACGTCCATGTCCATGTCCACGTCCATGTCCACGTCCACGTCCATGTCCACATCCACGTCCACGTCCACGTCCATGTCCACGTCCATGTCCACGTCCATGTCCATCTTAACGTCCACGTCCAAGTCCATGTCCACGTCCACGTCCATGTCCACGTCCATGTCCATGTCCACGTCCATGTCCACGTCTATGTCCACGTCCCTGTCCACGTCCATGTCCACGTCCACGTCCACGACCATGTCCACGTCCACGTCCACGTCCACGTCCACGTCCATGTCCACGTCCACGTCCACGTCCACGTCCACGACCAGGTCCACCTCCACGTCCACGTCCAGGTCCACGTCCAAGTCCACGTCCACGTCCACGTCCACGTCCAAGTCCACGTCCACGTCCACGACTGTCCACGTCCACGTCCACGTCTACGTCCACGTCCACGTCCAAGTCCTCCACGTCCACGTCCATGTCCATCTCCGCGTCCACGTCCACGTCCATGTCCACGTCCACGTCCAAGTCCACGTCCATGTCCACGTCCACGTCCACGTCCACGTCCATGTCCACGTCCATGTCCACGTCCACGTCCATGTCCACGTCCATGTCCACGTCCATGTCCATGTCCACGTCCACGTCCACGTCCACGTCCACGTCCACGTCCATGTCCACGTCCATGTCCACGTCCATGTCCACGTCCATGTCCACGTCCACGTCCACGTCCACGTCCACGTCCACGTCCACGTCCATGTCCACATCCACGTCCATGTCCACATCCATGTCCACGTCCACATCCATGTCCACGTCCACGTCCACGTCCACGTCCACGTCCACGTCAATGTCCATGTCTATGTCCACGTCCACGTCCATGTCCACGTCCATGTTCACGTCCATGTTCACGTCCACGTTCACGTCCACTTCCACGTCCACGTCCACGTCCAGGTCCACGTCCACGTCCACGTCCAAGTCCACGTCCACGTCCACGTCCACGTCCACGTCCACATCAACGTCCACGTCCACGTCCATGTCCACGTCCACGTCCACATCCACGTCCACGTCCATGTCCACGTCCACGTCCACGTCCATGTCCACGTCCACGTCCACGTCCACGTCCACGTCCACGTCCACTTCCACGTCCACGTCCACGTCCACTTCCACATCCACTTCCACGTCCACGTCCACTTCCACATCCACGTCCACGTCCACGTCCACGTCCAGGTCCACGTCCACGTCCACGTCCACGTCCGAGTCCACGTCCAATTCCACGTCCACGTCCACGTCCACGTCCACGTCCAAGTCCTCCACGTCCACGTCCATGTCCATGTCCACGTCCACGTCCACGTCCATGTCCACGTCCACGTCCAAGTCCACGTCCATGTCCACGTCCACGTCCACGTCCACGTCCACGTCCATGTCCACGTCCATGTCCATGTCCACGTCCACGTCCACGTCCATGTCCACGTCCACGTCCACGTCCATGTCCACGTCCACGTCCATGTCGACGTCCATGTCCACGTCCATGTCCACGTCCACGTCCACGTCCACGTCCACGTCCATGTCCACATCCACGTCCATGTCCACATCCATGTCCACGTCCACATCCATGTCCACGTCCACGTCCACGTCCACGTCCACGTCCATGTCCACGTCTATGTCCACGTCCACGTCCATGTCCACGTCCATGTTCACGTCCATGTTCACGTCCACGTTCACGTCCACTTCCACGTCCACGTCCTCGTCCAGGTCCACGTCCATGTCCACGTCCACGTCCACGTCCAAGTCTACGTCCACGTCCACGTCCACGTCCACGTCCACGTCAACGTCCACGTCCACGTCAACGTCCACGTTCATGCCACGTCCACGTCCACATCAACGTCCACGTCCAAGTCCACGTCCAAGTCCACGTCCACGTCCACGTCCACGTCCACGTCCACGTCAACGTCCACGTCCACGTCCACGTCCACGTCCACGTCCACGTCAACGTCCACGTCCACGTCCACGTCCACGTCCAAGTCCTTGTCCACGTCCACGTCCACGTCCATGTCCACGCCCACGTCCACCCACGTCCACGTCCACGTCCACATCCCCGTCCACGTCCACGTCCGCATCCCCGTCAACGTCCACGTCCGCGTCCACGTCCACGTCCACGTCCATGTCCATGTCCACGTCCACGTCCACATCCACGTCCACGTCCACATCCCCGTCCACGTCCACGTCCCACCCATGTCCACTTCCACGTCCACGTCCATGTCCACTTCCATGTCCACGTCCCTCCACGTCCATGTCCACGTCCATGTCCACGTCCATGTCCACGTCCACGTCCACGACCACGTCCACGTCCACGTACACGACCACATCCACATCCACGTCCACGTCCACAACCATGTCCACGTCCACGTCCACGTCCATGTCCACGTCCACGTCCACGTCCATGTCCACGTCCACGTCCACGTCCACATCCCCGTCCACGTCCACGTCCGCGTCCATCCACGTCCACGTCCACGTCCGCGTCCACGTCCCCGTCGATGTCCGTCCACGTCCACGTCCACGTCCACGTCCACGTCCCCGTCCACGTCCACGTCCACGTCCACGTCCCCGTCCACGTCCACGTCCCCGTCCACGTCCCCGTCCACGTCCACGTCCCCGTCCACGTCCACGTCTAGGTCCACGTCCATGTCCACATCCACGTCCACGTCCACGTCCATGTCCATGTCCACGTCCACGTCCACATCCATGTCCACGTCCACGTCCGCGTCCACATCCCCGTCCACGTCCACGTCCATGTCCATGTCCACGTCCATGTCCACGTCCACGTCCATGTCCACGTCCATGTCCACGTCCATGTTCACGTCCATGTCCACTTCCACGTCCACGTCCACGTCCAGATCCACGTCCACGTCCACGTCCACGTCCACGTCCACGTCCACGTCAACGTCCACGTCCACGTCCACGTCCACGTCCACGTCCACGTCCACGTCCACGTCCACGTCCACGTCCATGTCCACGTCCACGTCCACGTCCACGTCCATGTCCACGTCCACGTCCACGTCCACGTCCACGTCCACGTCCACGTCCACGTCCAAGTCCACGTCCACGTCCACGTCCACGTCCAAGTCCACGTCGACGTCCACGTCCACGTCCACGTCCACGTCCACGTCAACGTCCACGTCCACGTCCACGTCCACGTCCACGTCAACTTCCACGTCCACGTCCACGTCCACGTCCACGTCCATGTCCACGTCAACGTCCACGTCCACGTCCACGTCCACGTCCACGTCCTTGTCCACGTCCACGTCCACGTCCACGTCCACGTCCACCCACGTCCACGTCCACGTCCACATCCCCGTCCACGTCCACGTCCGCATCCCCGTCAACGTCCACGTCCGCGTCCACGTCCACGTCCACGTCCATGTCCACGTCCACGTCCACGTCCACGTCCACATCCCCGTCCACGTCCACGTCCGCGTCCATGTCCACTTCCGCGTCCACGTCCATGTCCACTTCCATGTCCACGTCCCTCCACGTCCATGTCCACGTCCATGTCCACGTCCATGTCCACGTCCACGTCCACGACCACGTCCACGTCCATGTCCACGACCACGTCCACGTCCACGTCCACGACCACATCCACGTCCACGACCACATCCACGTCCATGTCCACGTCCACGTCCACGACCACGTCCACGTCCACCTCCATGTCCACGTCCACGTCCACGTCCACGTCCCCGTCCACGTCCACGTCCGCGTCCACATCCCCGTCCACGTCCACGTCCGCGTCCACGTCCATGTCCATGTCCACGTCCACGTCCACGTCCACGTCCGCGTCCACCTCCCCGTCCATGTCCACGTCCACGTCCACGTCCACGTCCTGGTCCATGTCCACGTCCACGTCCACGTCCATGTCCACGTCCAGGTCCACGTCCACGTCCACGTCCATGTCCACGTCCATGTCCATGTCCATATATACGTCCACGTCCACGTCCTGGTCCATGTCCACGTCCACGTCCACGTCCACGTCCACGTCCATGTCCACGTCCACGTCCACGTCAACGTCCACGTCAACGTCCACGTCCACGTCCACGTCCACCTCCACGTCCAGGTCCACGTCCACGTCAACGTCCACGTCCACGTCCACGTCAACGTCCACGTCAACGTCCACGTCCACGTCCACGTCCACGTCCACGTCCACGTCCAAGTCCACGTCCAAGTCCACGTCCACGTCCACGTCGACGTCCTCGTCGACGTCCACGTCCTCGTCCACGTCCACGTCCACGTCAACGTCCACGTCCACGTCCACGTCCACGTCCACGTCCATGTCCACGTCCACGTCCACGTCCACGTCCACGTCCAGGTCCACGTCCACGTCCACGTCCACGTCCACGTCAACTTCCACGTCCACGTCCACGTCCACGTCCACGTCCACGTCCACGTCAACGTCCACGTCCACGTCCACGTCCACGTCCTTGTCCACGTCCACGTCCACGTCCACGTCCATGTCCACGTCCACGCCCACCCACGTCCACGTCCACGTCCACATCCCCGTCCACGTCCACGTCCGCATCCCCGTCAACGTCCACGTCCGCGTCCACGTCCACGTCCACGTCCATGTCCACGTCCACGTCCACGTCCACGTCCTCGTATACATCCCCGTCCACGTCCACGTCCGCGTCCATGTCCACTTCCGCGTCCACGTCCATGTCCACTTCCATGTCCACGTCCCTCCACGTCCATGTCCACGTCCATGTCCACGTCCATGTCCACGTCCACGTCCACGACCACGTCCACGTCCACGTCCACGACCACGTCCACGTCCACGTCCGCGACCACATCCACGTCCACGACCACATCCACGTCCACGTCCACGTCCACGTGCACGACCACGTCCACGTCCACCTCCATGTCCACGTCCACGTCCACGTCCACGTCCCCGTCCACGTCCACGTCCGCGTCCACATCCCCGTCCACGTCCACGTCCGCGTCCACGTCCATGTCCATGTCCACGTCCACGTCCACGTCCGCGTCCACCTCCCCGTCCATGTCCACGTCCACGTCCACGTCCACGTCCTGGTCCATGTCCACGTCCACGTCCACGTCCATGTCCACGTCCAGGTCCACATCCACGTCCACGTCCATGTCCACGTCCATGTCCATGTCCATGTATACGTCCACGTCCACGTCCTGGTCCATGTCCACGTCCACGTCCACGTCCACGTCCACGTCCATGTCCACGTCCACGTCCACGTCAACGTCCACGTCAACGTCCACGTCCACGTCCACGTCCACCTCCACGTCCAGGTCCACGTCCACGTCGACGTCCACGTCCACGTCCACGTCAACGTCCACGTCAACGTCCACGTCCACGTCCACGTCCACGTCCACGTCCAAGTCCACGTCCAAGTCCACGTCCACGTCCACGTCGACGTCCTCGTCGACGTCCACGTCCACGTCCACGTCCACGTCCACGTCAACGTCCACGTCCACGTCCACGTCCACGTCCACGTCCACGTCCACGTCCATGTCCACGTCCACGTCCACGTCCACGTCCACGTCCAGGTCCACGTCCACGTCCACGTCCACGTCCACGTCAACTTCCACGTCCACGTCCACGTCCACGTCCACGTCCACGTCAACGTCCACGTCCACGTCCACGTCCACGTCCACGTCCACGTCCTTGTCCACGTCCACGTCCACGTCCACGTCCATGTCCACGTCCACGCCCACCCACGTCCACGTCCACGTCCACATCCCCGTCCACGTCCACGTCCGCATCCCCGTCAACGTCCACGTCCGCGTCCACGTCCACGTCCACGTCCATGTCCACATCCACGTCCACGTCCACGTCCTCGTCCACATCCCCGTCCACGTCCACGTCCGCGTCCATGTCCACTTCCGCGTCCACGTCCATGTCCACTTCCATGTCCACGTCCCTCCACGTCCATGTCCACGTCCATGTCCACGTCCATGTCCACGTCCACTTCCGCGTCCACGTCCACGTCCACGTCCACGACCACGTCCACGTCCACGACCACATCCACGTCCACGACCACATCCACGTCCACGTCCACGTCCACGTCCATGTCCACGTCCACGACCACATCCCCGTCCACGTCCACGTCCGCGTCCACATCCCCGTCCACGTCCACGTCCGCGTCCACGTCCCCGTCCATGTCCACGTCCACGTCCACGTCCTGGTCCACGTCCACGTCCGCGTCCACATCTCCGTCCACGTCCACGTCCGCGTCCACGTCCCCGTCGATGTCCACGTCCACGTCCACGTCCACGTCCTAGTCCATGTCCACGTCCACGTCCACGTCCATGTCCACGTCCAGGTCCACGTCCACGTCCACGTCCACGTCCATGTCCACGTCCATGTCTATGTCCATGTATACGTCCACGTCCACGTCCTGGTCCATGTCCACATCCACGTCCACGTCCATGTCCACGTCCACGTCCACGTCCACGTCCATGTCAACGTCCACGTCAACGTCCACGTCCACGTCCACGTCCACCTCCACGTCCAGGTCCACCTCCACGTCCACGTCCACGTCCACGTCCACGTCCACGTCAACGTCCACGTCCACGTCCACGTCAACGTCCACGTCCACGTCCACGTCAACGTCCACGTCCACGTCCAGGTCCACATCAACGTCCACGTCAACGTCCACGTCCACGTCCACGTCCACGTCCAGGTCCACGTCCACGTCCACGTCCACGTCCACGTCCAGGTCCACATCAACGTCCACGTCAACGTCCACGTCCACGTCCACGTCCACGTCCAGGTCCACGTCCACGTCCACGTCCAGGTCCACGTCCACGTCCACGTCCACGTACACGTCAACGTACACGTCAACGTCCACGTCCACGTCCAAGTACACGTCAACGTCCACGTCCACGTCCACGTCCACGCCCACGTCCACGTCCAGGTCCACGCCCACATCCACGTCCACGTCCACGTCCATGTCCACGTCCACGTCCACGACCACGTCCACGTCCACGTCCACGTCCACGTCCATGTCCACTTCCACGTCCACATCCCCGTCCACGTCCAAGTCCACGTCCATGTCCATCCACGTCCATGTCGACGTCCATGTCCACCCACGTCCACGTCCACGTCCGCGTCCATCCACGTCCATGTCCCCGTCCACGTCCAAGTCCACGTCCATGTCCATCCACGTCCATGTCGACGTCCGCGTCCATCCACGTCCACGTCCACGTCCGCGTCCACGTCCACGTCCATGTCCGCGTCCACGTCCACGTCCATGTCCACGTCCACGTCCATGTCCATGTCCACGTCCATGTCCATGTCCATGTCCACGTCCACATCCACGTCCACGTCCACGTCCACGTCCACGTCCATGTCCACGTCCATGTCCACGTCCACGTCCATGTCCACGACCACGTCCATGTCCATGTCCAAGTCCTCCACGTCCATGTCCACATCCATGTCCACGTCCACGTCCACGTCCACGTCCATGTCCACGTCCACGTCCATGTCCACGTCGACGTCCATGTCCACGTCCATGTCCACGTCCACGTCCACGTCCACGACCATGTCCACTTCCACGTCCACGTCCACGTCCACGTCCACGTCCACGTCCACGACCACGTCCACGTCCACGTTCACGTCCATGTCCACGTCCACGTCCATCCACGTCCACGTCCACGTCCGCGTCCATGTCCCCGTCCATGTCCACGTCCACGTCCACGTCCACGTCCTGGTCCATGTCCACGTCCACGTCCACGTCCACGTCCGCGTCCATATCCACGTCCATGTCCATGTGCACGTCCACGTCCACGTCCACGTCCTGGTCCATGTCCATGTCCACGTCCGCGTCCACGTCCACGTCCATATCCATGTCCATTTCCATGTCCACATCCACGTCCGCGTCCGTCCACGTCCACGTCCGCGTCCACGTCCCCGTCCATGTCCACGTCCACGTCCACGTCCACGTCCACGTCCTGGTCCATGTCCATGTCCACGTCCACGTCCACGTCTACATCCATATCCACGTCCACGTCCATGTCCACGTCCACGTCCATGTCCACGTCCACGTCCATGTCCAGGTCGATGTCCATGTCTACGTCCACGTCCACGTCTACGTCCACGTCCACGTCCACGTCCATGTCCACGTCCACGTCCATGTCCACGTCCACGTCAATGTCCACGTCAACGTCCACGTCCATGTCCACGTCGACGTCGACGTCCACGTCCACGTCCATGTCCGCGTCCACGTCCACGTCCACGTCCACGTCCACGTCCATGTCCATGTCCACGTCCATCCACGTCCACGTCCACGTCCACGTCCATGTCCAAGTCCGCGTCCGCGTCCATCCACGTCCACGTCCACGTCCACGTCCACGTCCATGTCCACGTCCATGTCCACGTCCATGTCCACGTCCACGTCCACGTCCACGTCCACGTCCACGACCACGTCCACGACCATGTCCACTTCCACGTCCACGTCCACGTCCATGTCCACGTCCATGTCCACGTCCAAGTCCTCCACGTCCACGTCCACGTCCACGTCCACGACCACGTCCATGTCCACGTCCATGTCCACGTCCACGTCCACGTCCACGTCCACATCCACGTCCACGTCCACGTCCACGTCCTGGTCCATGTCCACGTCCACGTCCACGTCCACGTCCACGTCCACGTCCAAGTCCATGTCCACGTCCACGTCCATGTCCACGTCCACGTCCTTGTCCACGTCCATGTCCATGTCCATGTCCATGTCCATGTCTACGTCCACGTCCACGTCTACGTCCACGTCCACGTCCATGTCCATGTCCACGTCCACGTCCATGTCCACGTCCACGTCAATGTCCACGTCCACGTCCACGTCCATGTCCACGTCGACGTCCACGTCCACGTCCACGTCCACGTCCACGTCCACGTCCACATCCAAGTCCACGTCCGCGTCCATCCACGTCCACGTCCACGTCCATGTCCATGTCCACGTCCACGTCCACGTCCATGTCCATGTCCACGTCCATGTCCATGTCCACGTCCACGTCCACGTCCACGTCCACGTCCACGTCCACGTCCACGTCCACGTCCACATCCACGTACACGTCCACGTCCACGTCCACGTCCACATCCACGTCCACGTCCACGACCACGTCCAGGACCATGTCCACGTCCACGTCCACGTCCACGTCCATGTCCACGTCCATGTCCACGTCCAAGTCCTCCACGTCCACGTCCACGTCCACGTCCACGACCACGTCCATGTCCACGTCCATGTCCTCCACGTCCATGTCCACGTCCATGTCCACGTCCACTTCTACGTCCACGTCCATGTCCATATCCACGTCACGTCCATGTCCACGTCCACGTCCACGTCGGCGTCCATGTCCACGTCGACGTCGACGTCCACGTCCACGTCCACATCCATGTCCACGTCCATGTCCACGTCCACGTCCACGTCCACGTCCATGTCCACGTCCACGTCCACGTCTACATCCATGTCCACGTCCATGTCCATGTCCACGTCCACGTCCACGTCCATGTCCATGTCCATGTCCACGTCCACGTCCATGTCCATGTCCATGTCCACGTCCACGTCCATGTCCACGTCCAGGTCCACATCTATGTCCACGTCCACGTCCACGTCCATGTCCACGTCCATGTCCATGTCGACGTCCACGTCCACGTCCATGTCCACGTCCATGTCCATGTCCATGTCCATGTCCATGTCCATGTCCACGTACACGTCCACGTCCACGTCCACGTCCATGTCCACGTCCACGTCCACGTCCACGTCCATGTCCATGTCCACGTCCACGTCCACGTCCATGTCCATGTCCATGTCCACGTCCACGTCCATGTCCACGTCCACGTCCACGTCCACGTCCACGTCTACGTCCACCTCCACCTCCACCTCCACATCCACCTCCACGTCCACGACCACGTCCATGTCCACGTCCAAGTCCTCCACGTCCATGTCCAAGTCCATGTCTACGTCCACGTCCACGTCCACGTCCACGTCCACGACCATGTCCACGTCCACGTCCACGTCCACGTCCCCGTCCACGTCCCCGTCCACGTCCACGTCCGCGTCCACGTCCACGTCCACGTCCGCGTCCATCCACGTCCGCGTCCACGTCCACGTCCACGTCCACGTCCACGTCCGCGTCTGCGTCCACGTCCGCGTCTACGTCCAAGTCCGCGTCCTCCTCCACGTCCACGTCCACGTCCGCGTCCACTTCCACGTCCCTGTCCACGTCCACGTCCACGTCCACGTCCACGTCCACGACCACGTCCACGTCCACGTCCATCCACGTCCTGAAGGGGATGGAATCTGGGAGAAGGTGATGGAATCTGGGAGAAGGGGATGGAATCTGGGAGAAGGGGATGGAATCTGGGAAAAGGGGAGGGAATCTGGGAGAAGGGGATGGAATTTGGGAGAAGGGGATGGAATCTGGGAGAAGGGGATGGAATCTTGGGGAAGGGGATGGAATCTGGGAGAAGGGGATGGAATCTGGGAGAAGGGGATGGAATGAGGGTGAAGGGGATGGAATCTGGGACAAGGGGATGGAATCTAGGAGAAGGGGATGGAATCTGGGAGAAGGGGATGGAATCTGTGAGAAGGGGATGGAATCTGGGAGAAGGGAATGGAATTTGAGAGAAGGGGATGGAATCTGGGAGAAGGGGATGGAATCTGGGGGAAGGGGATGTAATATGGAAGAAGGGGATGGAATCTGGGAGAAGGGGATGGAATGAGGAAAAGGGGATGGAATGAGGGAGAAGGGGATGGATTCTGGGAGAAGGGGATGAAATCTGGGAGAAGGGGATGGAATCTGGAGAAGGGGATGGAATCTGGGAGAAGGGGATGGAATCTAGGAGAAGGGGATGGAATCTACGAGAAGGGGATGGCATGAGGGAGAAGGGGATGGAATCTGGGAGAAGGGGATGGAATCTAGGAGAAGGGGATGGAATCTGGGAGAAAGGGATGGAATCAGGGAGAAGGGGATGGAATCTGGGAGAAGGGATGGAGTCTGAGAGAAGGGGATGGAATCTGGGAGAAGGGGATGGAATCTGGAAGAAGGGGATGGAATGAGGGAGAAGGGGATGGAATCTGGGAGAAGGGGATGGAATCTGGGAGAAGGGGATGGAATCTAGGAGAAGGGGATGGAATATGGGAGAAGGGGATGGAATCTGGGAGAAGGGGATGTAATATGGGAAAAGGGGATGGAATCTGGGAGAAGGGGATGGAATCTGGAAGAAGGGGATGGAATCTGGGAGAAGGGGATGGAATCAGGGAGAAGGGATGGAATTTGGGAGAAGGGGATGGAATTTGGGAGAAGGGGATGGAATCTGAGAGAAGGGGATGGAATCTGGGAGAAGGGGATGGAACCTGGGAGAAGGGGATGGAATCTGGGAGAAGGGGATGGAATCTGGGAGAAGGGGATGGAATCTGGGAGAAGGGGATGGAATGAGGGAGAAGGGGATGGAATCTGGGAGAAGGGGATGGAATCTCGGAGAAGGGATGGAATCTGGGAGAAGGGGATGGAATCGGGAAGAAGGGGATGGAATCCGGGAGAAAGGGATGAAATCTGGGAGAAGGGGATGGAATCTGGGAGAAGGGGATGGAATCGGGGAGAAGGGGATGGAATCAGGGAGAAGGGGATGGAATTTGGGAGAAGGGGATGGAATCTGGAGAAGGGGATGGAATCTGGGAGAAGGGGATGGAATTTGGGAGAAGGGGATGGAATCTGGGATAAGGGGTTGGAATCTGGGAGAAGGGGATGGAATCTGGGAGAAGGGGATGGAATTTGGGAGAAGGGGATAGAATATGGAGAAGGGGATGGAATCTGGGAGAAGGGGATGGAATCTGGGAGAAGGGGATGGAATTTGGGAGAAGGGGATGGAATCAGGGAGAAGAGATGGAATTTGGGAGAAGGGGATGGAATCTGGGAGAAGGGGATGGAATCTAGGAGAAGGGGATGGAATCAGGGAGAAGGGGATGGAATCGGGGAGAAGGGGTTGGAATCAGGGAGAAGGGGATGGAATTTGGGAGAAGGGGATGGAATCTGGAGAAGGGGAGGGAATCTGGGAGAAGGGGATGGAATTTGGGAGAAGGAGATGGAATCTGGGAGAAGGGAATGGAATCTGGGAGAAGGGGATGGAATCTGGGAGAAGGGGATGGAATCTGGGAGAAGGGGATGGAATATGGGAGAAGGGGATGGAATCAGGGAGAAGGGGAAGGAATCTGGGAGAAGGGGATGGAATCTGGGAGAAGGGGATGGAATCTGGGAGAAGGGGATGGAATCTAGGAGAAGGGGATGGAATCTGGGAGAAGGGGATGGAATCAAGGAGAAGGGGATGGAATCGGGGAGAAGGGGTTGGAATCAGGGAGAAGGGGATGGAATTTGGGAGAAGGGGATGGTATCTGGGAGAAGGGGATGGAATCTAGGAGAAGGGGATGGAATCTGGGAGAAGGGGATGGAATCTGGGAGAAGGGGATGGAATCTAGGAGAAGGGGATGGAATCTGGGAGAAGGGGATGGAATCTGGGAGAAAGGGATGGAATCTGGGAGAAGGGGATGGAATCTGGGAGAAGGGGATGGAATCTGGGAGAAGGGGATGGAATCTGGGAGAAGGGGATGGAATCTGGGAGAAGGGGATGGTATCTGGGAGAAGGGGATGGAATCTAGGAGAAGGGGATGGAATCTGGGAGAAGGGGATGGAATCTGGGAGAAGGGGATGGAATCTGGGAGAAGGGGATGGACTCTGGGAGAAGGGGATGGAATCTGGGAGAAGGGGATGGAATCTAGGAGAAGGGGATGGAATCAGGGAGAAGGGGATGGAATCTGGGAGAAGGGGATGGAATCAGGGAGAAGAGGATGAAATCTGGGAGAAGGGGATAGAATCTGGGAGAAGGGGGTGGACTCTGGGAGAAGGGGATGGAATCTGGGAGAAGGGGATGGAATCTGGGAGAAGGAGATGGAATCTGGGAGAAGGGGATGGAATCTGGGAGAAGGGGATGGAATCTGGGAGAAGGGGATGGAATCAGGGAGAAGGGGATGGAATATGGGAGAAGGGGATGGAATCTGGGAGAAGGGGATGGAATCTGGGAGAAGGGGATGGACTCTGGGAGAAGGGGATGGAATCTGGGAGAAGGGGATGGAATCTGGGAGAAGGGGATAGAATCTGGGAGAAGGGGATGGAATCTGGGAGAAGGGGACGGAATCAGGGAGAAGGGGATGAAATCTGGGAGAAGGGGATGGAATCTTGGAGAAGGGGGTGGAATCTGGAGAAGGGGAGGGAATCTGGGAGAAGGGGATGGAATTTGGGAGAAGGAGATGGAATCTGGGAGAAGGGAATGGAATCTGGGAGAAGGGGATGGAATCTGGGAGAAGGGGATGGAATCTGGGAGAAGGGGATGGAATATGGGAGAAGGGGATGGAATCAGGGAGAAGGGGAAGGAATCTGGGAGAAGGGGATGGAATCTGGGAGAAGGGGATGGAATCTGGGAGAAGGGGATGGAATCTAGGAGAAGGGGATGGAATCTGGGAGAAGGGGATGGAATCAAGGAGAAGGGGATGGAATCGGGGAGAAGGGGTTGGAATCAGGGAGAAGGGGATGGAATTTGGGAGAAGGGGATGGTATCTGGGAGAAGGGGATGGAATCTAGGAGAAGGGGATGGAATCTGGGAGAAGGGGATGGAATCTGGGAGAAGGGGATGGAATCTAGGAGAAGGGGATGGAATCTGGGAGAAGGGGATGGAATCTGGGAGAAAGGGATGGAATCTGGGAGAAGGGGATGGAATCTGGGAGAAGGGGATGGAATCTGGGAGAAGGGGATGGAATCTGGGAGAAGGGGATGGAATCTGGGAGAAGGGGATGGTATCTGGGAGAAGGGGATGGAATCTAGGAGAAGGGGATGGAATCTGGGAGAAGGGGATGGAATCTGGGAGAAGGGGATGGAATCTGGGAGAAGGGGATGGACTCTGGGAGAAGGGGATGGAATCTGGGAGAAGGGGATGGAATCTAGGAGAAGGGGATGGAATCAGGGAGAAGGGGATGGAATCTGGGAGAAGGGGATGGAATCAGGGAGAAGAGGATGAAATCTGGGAGAAGGGGATAGAATCTGGGAGAAGGGGGTGGACTCTGGGAGAAGGGGATGGAATCTGGGAGAAGGGGATGGAATCTGGGAGAAGGAGATGGAATCTGGGAGAAGGGGATGGAATCTGGGAGAAGGGGATGGAATCTGGGAGAAGGGGATGGAATCAGGGAGAAGGGGATGGAATATGGGAGAAGGGGATGGAATCTGGGAGAAGGGGATAGAATCTGGGAGAAGGGGATGGACTCTGGGAGAAGGGGATGGAATCTGGGAGAAGGGGATGGAATCTGGGAGAAGGGGATAGAATCTGGGAGAAGGGGATGGAATCTGGGAGAAGGGGATGGACTCTGCGAGAAGGGGATGGAATCTGGGAGAAGGGGATGGAATCTAGGAGAAGGGGATGGAATCAGGGAGAAGGGGATGGAATCTGGGAGAAGGGGATGGAATCAGGGAGAAGAGGATGAAATCTGGGAGAAGGGGATAGAATCTGGGAGAAGGGGGTGGACTCTGGGAGAAGGGGATGGAATCTGGGAGAAGGGGATGGAATCTGGGAGAAGGAGATGGAATCTGGGAGAAGGGGATGGAATCTGGGAGAAGGGGATGGAATCTGGGAGAAGGGGATGGAATCAGGGAGAAGGGGATGGAATATGGGAGAAGGGGATGGAATCTGGGAGAAGGGGATGGAATCTGGGAGAAGGGGATGGACTCTGGGAGAAGGGGATGGAATCTGGGAGAAGGGGATGGAATCTGGGAGAAGGGGATAGAATCTGGGAGAAGGGGATGGAATCTGGGAGAAGGGGACGGAATCAGGGAGAAGGGGATGAAATCTGGGAGAAGGGGATGGAATCTTGGAGAAGGGGGTGGAATCTAGGAGAAGGGGATGGAATCTAGGAGAAGGGGATGGAATCAGGGAGAAGGGGATGGAATCTGGGAGAAGGGGATGGAATCAGGGAGAAGAGGATGAAATCTGGGAGAAGGGGATAGAATCTGGGAGAAGGGGGTGGACTCTGGGAGAAGGGGATGGAATCTGGGAGAAGGGGATGGAATCTGGGAGAAGGAGATGGAATCTGGGAGAAGGGGATGGAATCTGGGAGAAGGGGATGGAATCTGGGAGAAGGGGATGGAATCAGGGAGAAGGGGATGGAATATGGGAGAAGGGGATGGAATCTGGGAGAAGGGGATGGAATCTGGGAGAAGGGGATGGACTCTGGGAGAAGGGGATGGAATCTGGGAGAAGGGGATGGAATCTGGGAGAAGGGGATAGAATCTGGGAGAAGGGGATGGAATCTGGGAGAAGGGGACGGAATCAGGGAGAAGGGGATGAAATCTGGGAGAAGGGGATGGAATCTTGGAGAAGGGGGTGGAATCTGGAGAAGGGGAGGGAATCTGGGAGAAGGGGATGGAATTTGGGAGAAGGAGATGGAATCTGGGAGAAGGGAATGGAATCTGGGAGAAGGGGATGGAATCTGGGAGAAGGGGATGGAATCTGGGAGAAGGGGATGGAATATGGGAGAAGGGGATGGAATCAGGGAGAAGGGGAAGGAATCTGGGAGAAGGGGATGGAATCTGGGAGAAGGGGATGGAATCTGGGAGAAGGGGATGGAATCTAGGAGAAGGGGATGGAATCTGGGAGAAGGGGATGGAATCAAGGAGAAGGGGATGGAATCGGGGAGAAGGGGTTGGAATCAGGGAGAAGGGGATGGAATTTGGGAGAAGGGGATGGTATCTGGGAGAAGGGGATGGAATCTAGGAGAAGGGGATGGAATCTGGGAGAAGGGGATGGAATCTGGGAGAAGGGGATGGAATCTAGGAGAAGGGGATGGAATCTGGGAGAAGGGGATGGAATCTGGGAGAAAGGGATGGAATCTGGGAGAAGGGGATGGAATCTGGGAGAAGGGGATGGAATCTGGGAGAAGGGGATGGAATCTGGGAGAAGGGGATGGAATCTGGGAGAAGGGGATGGTATCTGGGAGAAGGGGATGGAATCTAGGAGAAGGGGATGGAATCTGGGAGAAGGGGATGGAATCTGGGAGAAGGGGATGGAATCTGGGAGAAGGGGATGGACTCTGGGAGAAGGGGATGGAATCTGGGAGAAGGAGATGGAATCTAGGAGAAGGGGATGGAATCAGGGAGAAGGGGATGGAATCTGGGAGAAGGGGATGGAATCAGGGAGAAGAGGATGAAATCTGGGAGAAGGGGATAGAATCTGGGAGAAGGGGGTGGACTCTGGGAGAAGGGGATGGAATCTGGGAGAAGGGGATGGAATCTGGGAGAAGGAGATGGAATCTGGGAGAAGGGGATGGAATCTGGGAGAAGGGGATGGAATCTGGGAGAAGGGGATGGAATCAGGGAGAAGGGGATGGAATATGGGAGAAGGGGATGGAATCTGGGAGAAGGGGATGGAATCTGGGAGAAGGGGATGGACTCTGGGAGAAGGGGATGGAATCTGGGAGAAGGGGATGGAATCTGGGAGAAGGGGATAGAATCTGGGAGAAGGGGATGGAATCTGGGAGAAGGGGATGGACTCTGCGAGAAGGGGATGGAATCTGGGAGAAGGGGATGGAATCTAGGAGAAGGGGATGGAATCAGGGAGAAGGGGATGGAATCTGGGAGAAGGGGATGGAATCAGGGAGAAGAGGATGAAATCTGGGAGAAGGGGATAGAATCTGGGAGAAGGGGGTGGACACTGGGAGAAGGGGATGGAATCTGGGAGAAGGGGATGGAATCTGGGAGAAGGAGATGGAATCTGGGAGAAGGGGATGGAATCTGGGAGAAGGGGATGGAATCTGGGAGAAGGGGATGGAATCAGGGAGAAGGGGATGGAATATGGGAGAAGGGGATGGAATCTGGGAGAAGGGGATGGAATCTGGGAGAAGGGGATGGACTCTGGGAGAAGGGGATGGAATCTGGGAGAAGGGGATGGAATCTGGGAGAAGGGGATAGAATCTGGGAGAAGGGGATGGAATCTGGGAGAAGGGGACGGAATCAGGGAGAAGGGGATGAAATCTGGGAGAAGGGGATGGAATCTTGGAGAAGGGGGTGGAATCTGGGAGAAGGGGATGGAATCTGGGAGAAGGGGATGGACTCTGGGAGAAGGGGATGGAATCTGGGAGAAGGGGATGGAATCTGGGAGAAGGGGATGGAATCTGGGAGAAGGGGATGGAATCTGGGAGAAGGGGACGGAATCAGGGAGAAGGGGATGAAATCTGGGAGAAGGGGATGGAATCTTGGAGAAGGGGGTGGAATCTGGGAGAAGGGAATGGAATCTGGGAGAACGGGATGGAATCTGGGAGAAGGAGATGGAATCTGGGAGAAGGGGATGGAATATGGGAGAAGGGGATGGAATCTGGGAGAAGGGGATGGAATCTGGGAGAAGGGGATGGAATATGGGAGAAGGGGATGGAATCTGGGAGAAGGGGATGGAATTTGGGAGAAGGGGATGGAATCTGGGAGAAGGGGGTGGAATCTGGGAGAAGGGGAAGAAATTTGGGAGAAGGGGATGGAATCAGGGAGAAGGGGATGGAATCTTGGAGAGGGGGATTGAATCTGGGAGAAGGGGATGGTGCGGAGATTACTTATGCAGCGGGAGCTAGACTACGGGCTAGGCACGGGGCAAGAGTGATCGTAGCGTTCGTTCGTTCCTTAGTCGTTTCCAAGTGCTAACACTGCTTGCTGGTTCACGGGGAAAATCGGCAAGAGTTTCACTAGGAAAACATAACAACAAAAGTTCAGAATGAATGCATCAACATTGGCAACACTGACTAAATCAGACCTAGCAAGGCTTGCTGGTCCACTGCCAGTGCAGCACGGTCGACCGCGTGCCAGCACAACTCTGTCGACCGCGCTCCAGCAGAGCAGAGTCGCGGCTTGCCAACGTTGCAAGTCCGCGGTGCGCCAACGCTGTAGTATATCAGCTACACAGCGTCGCATCCGCGTGACAACGGTGCACCAGCTTTGCAGGTGCGTGCAGCTGGTTGGCGCCCAACTCCTCGTCACATGCCCAGCGAGACACTCCGCCCGTGACGGCGCCCACCAGCCACGTCGATCTCGGGATACCACCCCCGAGATCGTCTTCGTAGACAACATCCCCGGCGACTTTCGCGCACGTCGCCCGGGTATCCTGGTTGACCGGGTACTTCGCGGTCCTCCCGCGGTTTCTCGGTCACCGCGGTCCTCCGCGGTTTCGTGGATCCACGATCCCCCGTGATTTCGTGGCTCCGCGGTCCCCCACAATTTCGTGGCTCAGCGGTCCCCCACGATTTCGTGGCTCCGCGGTCTTTCACGATTTCGTGGCTCCGCGGCCCCCCACGAGCCACTGCCATTTCGTGGCTCCCACGGGCCACTGCAATTTCATGGCTCCCACGGTCGGCTCCGCCCAAGCGAGGACGGGGCCAAACACAACTCCCGTTGACAGATGGAATCTAGGAGAAGGGGATGGAATGTGGGAGAAGGGGATGGAATCTGGGAGAAGGGGATGGAATCTAGGAGAAGGGGATGGAATCGGGGAGAAGGGGATGGAATCTGGGAGAAGGGGATGGAATCTGGGAGAAGGGGATGGAATCTGGGAGAAGGGGATGGAATCTGGGAGGAGGGGGTGGAATCTGAGAGAAGGGGATGAAATTTGGGAGAAGGGGATGGAATCAGGGAAAAGGGGATGGAATCTGGGAGAGGGGGATGGAATCTGGGAGAAGGGGATGCAATATGGGAGAAGGGGATGGAATCGGGGAGAAGGGGATGGAATTTGAGAGAAGGGGATGGAATATGGGAGAAGGGGATGGAATCAGTGAGAAGGGGGTGGAATCTGGGGGAAGGGGATGGAATCTGGGAGAAGGGGATGGAATCTGGGAGAACGGGATGGAATCTGGAAGAAGGGGATAGAATCTTGGAGAAGGGGATGGAATCTAGGAGAAGGGGATGGAATCAGGGAGAAGGGGGTGGAATCTGGGAGAAGGGGATGAAATTTGGGAGAAGGGGATGGAATCTGGGAGAAGGGGATGGTCCACGTCCACGTCCACGTCCACGTCCTCGACCACGTCCACGTCCACGTCCACGTCCTCCACGTCCACGTCCACGTCCACGTCCACGACCACGTCCACGTCCACGACCACGTCCACGACCACGTCCAGGTCCACGTCCAGGTCCACGTCCAGGTCCACGTCCACGTCCACGTCCACGTCCACAACGTCCACGTCCACGTCCACGACCACGAACACGTCCACGTCCACGTCCACGTCCACGACCACGTCCACGTCCACGTCCACGTCCACGTCCTGGTCCAGGTCCAGGTCCACATCCACGTCCACGTCCACGACCACGTCCACGACCACCTCCACGTCCACTTCCACGCCCACGTCCACGTCCACGTCCACGTTCAGGTCCAGGTCCACGTCATGGTCCACGTCCACGTCCACGTCGACGTCCACCTCCACGTCCACGTCCACGTCCACCTCCACGTCCACGTCCACGTCCACGTCGACGTTCAGGTCCACGTCGAGGTCCACGTCCACGTCCACGTCCACGTCCACGACCACGTCCACGACCACCTCCACATCCACGACCACCTCCACGTCCAGGTCCAAGTCCACGTCCAGGTCCACGTCCACGTCTAGGTCCACGTCCACGTCCACGTCCACCTCCACGTCCACGTCCACGTCCAGGTCCACGTCCACGTCCACGTCCAGGTCCAGGTCCAGGTCCACGTCCAGGTCCAGGTCCACGTCCATGTCCACGACCACGTCCACGTCCACAACGTCCACGTCCACGTCCATGACCACGTCAAGGTCCACGTCCACGTCAAGGTCCACGTCCACGTCCACGTCCAAGTCCACGTCCACGTTCAGGTCCACGTCCACGTCCACGTCCACGTCCACCTCCACGTCCACCTCCACGTCCACGTCCACGTCCACGTCCAAGTCCACGTCCAGGTCCAAGTCCACATCCAGGACCACGTCCACGTCCAGGTCCAGGTCCACGTCCACGTCCACGTCCACGACCACGTCCACGACCACGTCCACATCCACAACGTCCACATCCACGTCCACGTCCACGACCACGTCCACCACCACGTCCACGTCCACCACCACGGCCACGTCCACGTCCAGCTCCACGTCCACGTCCATGTCTACGTGCACATCCACGTCCACGTCCACGTCCACGTCCATGTCCAGGTCCACGTCCAGGTCCATGTCCAAGTCCCCGTCCACGTCCACGACCACATCAACGTCCAAGTCCATGTCCAGGTCCACGTCCACGTCCACGTCCACGTCGACGTCCACGACCACGACCATGCCCAGGTCCACGTCCACGTCCGCGACCATGTCCACGTCCACGTCCAAGTTCACGTCCACGTCCAAGTCCACGTCCACGTCCATGACCACGTCCACGACCACGTCCACGTCCACGACTACGTCCACGTCCACGACCACGTCCACGACCACGTCCAGGTCCACGTCCACGTCCACGACCACGTCCACGTCCACGTCCACGTCCACGTCCAGGTCCACGTCCACGTCCACGTCCACGTCCACGACCACCTCCACGTCCACGTCCATGCCCACCTCCACGTCCACGTCCACGTCCACGTCCATGTCCAGGTCCAGGTCCAGGTCCAGGTCCACGTCCACGTCCACGTCCACGACCACGTCCACGTCCACGTCCACGTCCACGTCCACCTCCACGTCCACGTCCACGACCACGTCCACCTCCACGTCCACGTCCACGACCACGTCCACGTCCACGTCCATGTCCACCTCCAAGTCCACGTCCACGTCCATGTCCACGTGCACGACCACGTCCATGTCCACGTCCACGTCCACGACCACGACCACGTCCACGACCATGTCCACGTCCACGACCACGACCACGTCCATGACCACGTCCACGTCCACGTCCGTGTCCACGACCACGACCACGACCACGTCCACGTCCACGTCCAGGTCCACGTCCACGACCACGTCCACGTCCACGTCCAGTTCCATATCCACGTCCACGTCCACGTCCACGTCCACGTCCACGTCCACGACCACGTCCACGTCCACGTCCACGTCCATGTCCTAGTCCACGTCCACGTCCTAGTCCACGTCCACGTCCACGTCCACGCCCACGTCCACGCCCACGACCATGTCCACGTCCACGTCCACGACCACGTCCACGTCCACGTCCACGTCCACGTCTTAGTCCACGTCCACGTCCACGTCCACGCCCACGTCCACGTCCACGCCCACGTCCACGCCCACGTCCACGACCATGTCCATGTCCACGTCCACGTCCACGACCACGTCCACGTCCACGTCCACGTCCACGACCACGTCTACGACCACCTCCACGTCCACGTCCACGCCCACGTCGACGTCCACGTCCACGTCCAGGTCCACGTCCACGTCCACGTCCACGACCACGACCACGTCCACGACCACGTCCACGTCCACGACCACGTCCATGTCCACGTCCACGTCCACGTCCACGTCCTCGTCCACTACGTCCATGACCATGTCCACCTCCACGACCACGTCCACGTCCACGTCCACGTCCACGTCCACTTCCAAGTCCACGTCCACGTCCACCTCCACGACCACGTCCACGTCCACGTCCACGACCACGTCCACGTCCACGTCCACGTCCACGTCCACGTCCACGACCACGTCCACGTCCACGTCCACGTCCACCATGTCCACCACGTCAACGACCACGTCCACGTCCACGTCCACGTCCACGACCACGTCCACCTCCACAACGTCCACGTCCACGTCCACGACCACGTCCACATCCTCCACGTCCACGTCCACGTCCTCCACGTCCACGACCACGTCCACGTCCACGTCCACGTCCTCCATGTCCACGTCCACGTCCTCCACGTCCACGACCACGTCCACATCCACAACGTCCACCTCCACGTCCACGTCCACGACCACGTCCACGTCCACGTCGACCACCACGTCCACGTCCACGTCCAGGTCCACGCCACGTCCACGTCCACGTCCACATCCACGTCCACGTCCACGTCCACGTCCATGTCCAGGTCCACGTCCACGTCCACGTCCATGTCCACGTCCAAGTCCACGTCCACGTCCACGTCCACGACCACGTCCACGTCCACGTCCACGTCCACGACCACGTCCACGTCCACGTCCACGTCCACCTCCACGACCACGTCCACGTCCACGTCCACGTCCACCACGTCCACCACGTCGACGACCACGTCCACGTCCACGTCCACGACCACGTCCACGTCCACGTCCACGTCCACGACCACGTCCACGTCCTCCACGTCCACGTCCTCCACGTCCACGACCACGTCCACGTCCACGTCCTCCAAGTCCACGTCTACGTCCTCCACGTCCACGACCACGTCCACATCCACAACGTCCACATCCACGTCGACGTCCACGACCACGTCCACGTCCACGTCGACCACCACGTCCACGTCCACGTCAAGGCCCACGCCACGTCCACGTCCACGTCCACATCCACGTCCACGTCCACGTCCACGTCCATGTCCATGTCCACGTCCAGGTCTACGTCCAAGTCCCCGTCCACGTCCACGACCACGTCCACGTCCACATCCAGGTCCACGTCCACGTCCACGTCCACGTCGACGTCCACGACCACGACCACGCCTAGGTCCACGTCCACGTCCACGACCATGTCCACGTCCACGTCCACGTCCACATCCACGACCACGTCCACGACCACGTCCACGTCCACAACCACGTCCACGTCCACGACCACGTCCACGACCACGTCCACGACCACGTCCAGGTCCACGTCCACGTCCACGACCATGTCCACGTCCACGTCCACGTCCACGTCCAGGTCCACGTCCACGTCCACGTCCACGTCCACGACCACCTCCACGTCCACGTCCACGCCCACCTCCACGTCCACGTCCACGTCCAGGTCCAGGTCCAGGTCCAGGTCCAGGTCCAGGTCCACGTCCACGTCCACGACCACCTCCACGTCCATGTCTACGTCCACGTCCACCTCCACGTCCACGTCCACGACCACGTCCACCTCCACGTCCACGTCCACGACCACGTCCACGTCAACGTCCACGTCCACCTCCAAGTCCACGCTTTCCATCACCCCTCCCCATTCTCCCTCCTTCCATCACCCCGCCCCTTTCTCCCGCTTTCGATCTCCCCGCCCCATTCTCCCGCTTTCCATCACCCACCCCATTCTCCTGCTTTCCATCACCTCGCCCCATTCTCCCGCTTTCCATCACCCCGCCCCATTCTTCTGCTTTCCATCACCCCGCCCCATTCTCCCGCTTTCCATCACCCTGCCCCATTCACCCGCTTTCCATCACCCGGCCCATTCTCCCGCTTTCCATCACCCCGCCCCATTCTCCCGCTTTCCATCACCCACCCCATTCTCCCGCTTTCCATCACCTCGCCCCATTCTCCCGCTTTCCATCACCCCGCCCCATTCTTCTGCTTTCCATCACCCCGCCCCATTCTCCCGCTTTCCATCACCCTGCCCCATTCACCCGCTTTCCATCACCCGGCCCATTCTTCCGCTTTCCATCACCCCGCCCCATTCTCCCGCTTTCCATCACCCTGCCCCATTCTCCCGCTTTCCATCACCCCGCACCATTCTCCCGCTTTCCATCACCCCGCCCCATTCTCCCGCTTTCCATCACTCCGCCCCATTCTCCCGCTTTCCATCACCCCGCGCCATTCTTCCGCTTTCCATCACCCCGCCCCCTTCTCCCTCCTTCCATCACCCCGCCCCATTCTCCCTCCTTCCATCACCCCGCCCCATTCTCCCGCTTTCCATCAGCCCGCCCCATTCTCCCGCTTTCCATCACCCCGCCCCTTTCTCCCGCTTTCCATCTCCCTGCCCCATTCTCCCGCTTTCCATCACCCCGCCCCATTCTCCCGCTTTCCATCACCTCGACCCATTCTCCCGCTTCCCATCATCCCGCCCTATTCCCCCGCTTTCCATCACCCCTCCCCATTCTCCCTCCTTCCATCACCCCGCCCCATTCTCCCGCTTTCCATTACACGCCCCATTCTCCCGCTTTCCATCACCTCGCCCCATCTCCCGCTTTCCATCACCCCGCCCCATTCTCCTGCTTTCCATCATCCCGCCCCATTCACCCGCTTTCCATCACCCGCCCCATTCTCCCGCTTTCCATCACCCCGCCCCATTCTCCCACTTTCCATCACCCCGCCCCATTCTCCCGCTTTTTATCACCCCGCCCCATTCTCCCGCTTTCCAACACCCCGCCCCATTCTCCCGCTTTCCATCACCCCGCCCCATTCTTCCGCTTCCCATCATCCCGCCCCATTCCCCCGCTTTCCATCACCCCTCCCCATTCTCCCTCCTTCCATCACCCTGCCCCTTTCTCCCGCTTTCCATCTCCCGGCCCCATTCTCACGCTTTCCATCACCCGCCCCATTCTCCCGCTTTCCATCACCTCGCCCCATTCTCCCGCTTTCCATCACCCCGCCCCATTCTTCTGCTTTCCATCACCCCGCCCCATTCTCCCGCTTTCCATCACCCTGCCCCATTCACCCGCTTTCCATCACCCGCCCCATTCTCCCGCTTTCCATCACCCCGCCCCATTCTCCCGCTTTCCATCACCCCGCCCCATTCTCCCGCTTTTCATCACCCCGCCCCATTCTCCCGCTTTCCAACACCCCGGCCCATTCTCTCGCTTTCCATCACCCCGCCCCCTTCTTCCTCCTTCCATCACCCCGCCCCGTTCTCCCTCCTTCCTTCACCCCGCCCCATTCTCCCGCTTTCCATCACCCTGCCCCATTCTCCCGCTTTCCATCACCCCGCACCATTCTCCCGCTTTCCATCACCCCGCCCCATTCTCCCGCTTTCCATCACCCCGCCCCATTCTCCCGCTTTCCATCACCCCGCGCCATTCTTCCGCTTTCCATCACCCCGCCCCCTTCTCCCTCCTTCCATCACCCCGCCCCATTCTCCCTCCTTCCATCACCCCGCCCCATTCTCCCGCTTTTCATCACCCCGCCCCATTCTCCCGCTTTCCAACACCCCGGCCCATTCTCTTGCTTTCCATCACCCCGCCCCCTTCTTCCTCCTTCCATCACCCCGCCCCGTTCTCCCTCCTTCCTTCACCCCGCCCCATTCTCCCGCTTTCCATCACCCTGCCCCATTCTCCCGCTTTCCATCACCCCGCACCATTCTCCCGCTTTCCATCACCCCGCCCCATTCTCCCGCTTTCCATCACCCCGCCCCATTCTCCCGCTTTCCATCACCCCGCGCCATTCTTCCGCTTTCCATCACCCCGCCCCCTTCTCCCTCCTTCCATCACCCCGCCCATTCTCCCTCCTTCCATCACCCCGCCCCATTCTCCCGCTTTCCATCAGCCCGCCCCATTCTCCCGCTTTCCATCACCCCGCCCCTTTCTCCCGCCTTCCATCTCCCTGCCCCATTCTCCCGCTTTCCATCACCCCGCCCCATTCTCCCGCTTTCCATCACCCCGCCCCATTCTCCCGCTTCCCATCATCCCGCCCCATTCCCCCGCTTTCCATCACCCCTCCCCATTCTCCCTCCTTCCATCACCCCGCCCCATTCTCCCGCTTTCCATTACACGCCCCATTCTCCCGCTTTCCATCACCTCGCCCCATCTCCCGCTTTCCATCACCCCGCCCCATTCTCCTGCTTTCCATCACCCCGCCCCATTCACCCGCTTTCCATCACCTGCCCCATTCTCCCGCTTTCCATCACCCCGTCCCATTCTCCCACTTTCCATCACCCCGCCCCATTCTCCCGCTTTTCATCACCCCGCCCCATTCTCCCGCTTTCCAACACCCCGCCCCATTCTCCCGCTTTCCATCACCCCGCCCCATTCTCCCGCTTTCCATCACCCCGCCCCATTCTCCCTCCTTCCCACCCCGCCTCATTCTCCCTCCTTCCATCACCCCGCCCCATTCTCCCGCTTTCCATCACCCCGCCCCATTCTCCCGCTTTCCATCACCCAGCCCCATTCTCCCACTTTCCATCACCCCGCCCCATTTTCCCGCTTTCTATCACCCTGCCCCATTCTCACGCTTCCATCACCCTACCCCAATCTCCCGCATTCCATCACCCCGCCCCATTCTCCCTCCTTCCATCACCCCGCCCCATTCTCCCGCTTTCCATCACCCCGCCCCATTCTCCCGCTTTCCATAACCCCGCCCCATTATCCCTCCTTCCATCACCCGCCCCGTTCTCCCTCCTTCCATCACCCCGCCCCTTTCTCCCTCCTTCCATCACCCCGCCCTATTCTCCCGCTTTCCATCAGCCCGCCTTATTCTCCCGCTTTCCATCACCCCGCCCCATTCTCCCGCTTTCCATCACCCCGCCCCATTCTCCCGCTTTCCATCACCCCGCCCCATTCTCCCGCTTTCCATCACCCCGCCCCATTCTCCCGCTTTCCATCACCCCGCCCCATTCTCCCGCTTTCCATCACCCTGCCCCATTCTCCCGCTTTCCATCACCCCGCCCCATTCTCCCGCTTTCCATCTCCCCGCCCCATTCTCCCTCCTTCCATCACCCCGCCTCATTCTACCTCCTTCCATCACCCCGCCCCATGCTCCTGCTTTCCATCACCCCGCCCCATTCTCCCGCTTTCCATCACCCCGCCCCATTCTCCCTCCTTCCATCACCCCGCCCCATTCTCCTGCTTTCCATCAGCCCACCCCATTCTCCCGCTTTCCATCTCCCCGCCCCATTCTACCTCCTTCCATCACCCCGCCCCATGCTCCCACTTTCCATCACCCCGCCCCATTCTCCCGCTTTCCATCACCCCGCCCCATTCTCCCTCCTTCCATCACACCGCCCCATTCTCCCGCTTTCCATCACCGCGCCCCATTCTCCCACTTTCCATCACCCCGCCCCATTCTCCCGTTTTCCATCACCCCGCCCCATTCTCCCTCCTTCCATCACCCCGCCCCATTCTCCCGCTTTCCATCACCCCGCCCCTTTCTCCCTCCTTCCATCACCCTGCCCCATTCTCCCGCTTTCCATCACCCCGCGCTATTCTCCCTCCTTCCATCACCCGGCTCCATTCTCCCGCTTTCCATCACCCCGCCCCATTCTCCCGCTTCCCATAACCCCACCTCATTCTCCCGCTTTCCATCACCCCGCCACATTCTCCCGCTTTCCATCACCCCGCCCCATTCTCCCGCTTTCCATCACCCCGCCCCATTCTCCCGCTTTCCATCACCCCGCTCCATTCTCCCGCTTTCCATCATGCCGCCCCCTTCTCCCTCCTTCCATCACCCCGCCCCATTCTCCCTCCTTCCATCACCCCGCCCCATTCTCCCGCTTTCCATCAGCCCGCCCCTTTCTCCCGCTTTCCATCTCCCTGCCCCATTCTCCCACTTTCCATCAACCCGCCCCATTCTCCCGCTTTCCACCACCCCGCCCCATTCTCCCGCTTCCCATCATCCCGCCCCATTCCCCCGGTTTCCATCACCCCTCCCCATTCTCCCTCCTTCTATCACCCCGCCCCATTCTCCCGCTTTCCATTACCCGCCCCATTCTCCCGCTTTCCATCACCTCGCCCCATCTCCCGCTTTCCATCACCCCGCCCTATTCTTCTGCTTTCCATCACCCCGCCCCATTCTCCTGCTTTCCATCACCCCGCCCCATTCACCCGCTTTCCATCACCCCGCCCTATTCTTCTGCTTTCCATCACCCCGCCCCATTCTCTCGCTTTCCATCACCCCGCACCCTTCTTCCTCCTTCCATCACCCGCCCCATTCTCCCGCTTTCCATCACCCCGCCCCATTCTCCCGCTTTCCATCACCCCGCTTCATTCTCCCGCTTTCCATCACCCCGCCACATTTTCCCACTTTCCATCACCCCGCCCCCTTCTCTCTCCTTCCATCACCCCGCCCCATTCTCCCTCCTTCCATCACCCCGCCCCATTCTCCCGCTTTCCATCAGCCCGCCCCATTCTCCCGCTTTCCATCACCCCGCCCCTTTCTCCCGCTTTCCATCTCCCCGCCCCATTCTCCCGCTTTCCATCACACCGCCCCATTCTCCCGCTTTCCATCACCCCGCCCCATTCTTCCGCTTCCCATCATTCCGCCCCATTCCCCCGCTTTCCATCACCCCTCCCCATTCTCCCTCCTTCCATCACCCCGCCCCATTCTCCCACTTTCCATCACCCGCCCCATTCTCCCGCTTTCCATCACCTCGCCCCACTCTCCCGCTTTCCATCACCCCGCCCCATTCTTCTGCTTTCCATCACCCCGCCCCATTCTCCCGCTTTCCATCACCCTGCCCCATTCTCCCGCTTTCCATCACCCCGCCCCATTCTCCCACTTTCCATCACCCGCCCCATTCTCCCGCTTTCCATCACCCCACCCCATTCTCCCGCTTTCCATCACCCCGCCCCATTCTCCCGCTTTTCATCACCCCGCCCCATTCTCCCGCTTTCCAACACCCCAGCCCATTCTCTCGCTTACCATCACCCCGCCCCCTTCTTCCTCCTTCCATCACCCCGCCCCATTCTCCCTCCTTCCTTCACCCCGCCCCATTCTCCCGCTTTCCATCACCCTGCCCCATTCTCCCGCTTTCCATCACCCCGCCCCATTCTCCCGCTTTTCCATCACCCCGCCCCATTCTCCCTCCTTCCATCACCCCGCCCCATTCTCCCGCTTTCCATCACCCCGCCCCCTTCTCTCTCCTTCCATCACCCCGCCCCATTCTCCCTCCTTCCATCACCCCGCCCCATTCTCCCGCTTTCCATCAGCCCGCCCCATTCTCCCGCTTTTCATCACCCCGCCCCTTTCTCCCGCTTTCCATCTCCCCGCCCCATTCTCCCGCTTTCCATCACACCGCCCCATTCTCCCGCTTTCCATCACCGCGCCCCATTCTTCCGCTTCCCATCATTCCGCCCCATTCCCCCGCTTTCCATCACCCCTCCCCATTCTCCCTCCTTCCATCACCCCGCCCCATTCTCCCACTTTCCATCACCCGCCCCATTCTCCCGCTTTCCATCACCTCGCCCCACTCTCCCGCTTTCCATCACCCCGCCCCATTCTTCTGCTTTCCATCACCCTGCCCCATTCTCCCGCTTTCCATCACCCTGCCCCATTCTCCCGCTTTCCATCACCCCGCCCCATTCTCCCACTTTCCATCACCCGCCCCATTCTCCCGCTTTCCATCACCCCACCCCATTCTCCCGCTTTCCATCACCCCGCCCCATTCTCCTGCTTTTCATCACCCCGCCCCATTCTCCCGCTTTCCAACACCCCAGCCCATTCTCTCGCTTACCATCACCCCGCCCCCTTCTTCCTCCTTCCATCACCCCGCCCCATTCTCCCTCCTTCCTTCACCCCGCCCCATTCTCCCGCTTTCCATCACCCTGCCCCATTCCCCCGCTTTCCATCACCCCGCCCCATTCTCCCGCTTTTCCATCACCCCGCCCCATTCTCCCTCCTTCCATCACCCCGCCCCATTCTCCCGCTTTCAATCACCCCGCCCCATTCTCCCGCTTTCCATCACCCCGCCCCCTTTTCCCTCCTTCCATCACCCCGCCCCATTCTCCCTCCTTCCATCACCCCGCCCCATTCTCCCGCTTTCCATCACCCCGCCCCATTCTCCCGCTTTCCATCACCCCGCCCCTTTCTCCCGCTTTCCATCTCCGTGCCCCATTCTCCCGCTTTCCATCACCCCGCCCCATTCTCCCGCTTTCCATCACCCTGCCCCATTCTCCCGCTTCCCATCATCCCGCCCCATTCTCCCGCTTTCTATCACCCCGCCCCATTCTCCCTCCTTCCATCACCCCGCCCCATTCTCCCGCTTTCCATCCACCCGCCCCATTCTCCCGCTTTCCACCACCCCGCCCCCTTCTCCCTCCTTCCATCACCCCGCCCCATTCTCCCTCCTTCCATCACCCCGCCCCATTCTCCCGCTTTCCATCAGCCCGCCCCATTCTCCCGCTTTCCATCACCCCGCCCCTTTCTCCCGCTTTCCATCTCCCTGCTCCATTCTCCCGCTTTCCATCACCCCGTCCCATTCTCCCGCTTTCCATCACCCCGCCCCATTCTCCCGCTTCCCATCATCCCGCCCCATTCCCCCGCTTTCCATCACCCCTCCCCATTCTCCCCTCTTCCATCACCCCGCCCCATTCTCCCGCTTTCCATCACCCCGCCCCATTCTCCCTCCTTCCATCACCCCGCCCCATTCTCCCTCCTTCCATCACCCCGCCCCATTCTCCCGCTTTCCATCACCCCGCCCCATTCTCCCGCTTCCCAGAACCCCACCCCATTCTCCCGCTTTCCATCACCCCGCCACAGTCTTCCACCTTCCATCAACCCGCCCCCTTCTCTCTCCTTCCATCACCCCGCCCCATTCTCCCTCCTTCCATCACCCCGCCCCATTCTCCCGCTTTCCATCAGCTCGCCCCATTCTCCCGCTTTCCATCACCCCTCCCCTTTCTCCCGCTTTCCATCTCCCCGCCCCATTCTCCCGCTTTCCATCACCCCGCCCCATTCTCCCGCTTTCCATCACCCCGACCCATTCTTCCGCTTCCCATCATCCCGCCCCATTCCCCCGCTTTCCATCACCCCTCCCCATTCTCCCTCCTTCTATCACCCCGCCCCATTCTCTCACTTTCCATCACCCCGCCCCATTCTCCCGCTTTCCATCACCCCGACCCATTCTCCCGCTTTCCATCACCCCGCCCCATTCTGCCTCCTTCCATCACCCCGCCCCATTCTCCCGCTTACCATCACCCCGCCCCATTCTCCCTCCTTCCATCACCCCGGCCCATTCTCCCTCATTCCATCACCCCGCTCCATTCTCCCGCTTTCCATCACACCGCGCCATTCTCCCGCTTCCCATAACCCCACCCCATTCTCCCGCTTTCCATCACCCCGCCACATTTTCCCACTTTCCATCACCCCGCCCCCTTCTCTCTCCTTCCATCACCCCGCCCCATTCTCCCTCCTTCCATCACCCCGCCCCATTCTCCCGCTTTCCATCACCCCGCCCCTTTCTCCGGCTTTCCATCTCCCCGCCCCATTCTCCCGCTTTCCATCACACCGCCCCATTCTCCCGCTTTCCATCACCCCGCCCCATTCTTCCGCTTCCCATCATTCCGCCCCATTCCCCCGCTTTCCATCACCCCTCCCCATTCTCCCTCCTTCCATCACCCCGCCCCATTCTCCCACTTTCCATCACCCGCCCCATTCTCCCGCTTTCCATCACCTCGCCCCACTCTCCCGCTTTCCATCACCCCGCCCCATTCTTCTGCTTTCCATCACCCCGCCCCATTCTCCCGCTTTCCATCACCCTGCCCCATTCTCCCGCTTTCCATCACCCCGCCCCATTCTCCCACTTTCCATCACCCGCCCCATTCTCCCGCTTTCCATCACCCCACCCCATTCTCCCGCTTTCCATCACCCCGCCCCATTCTCCCGCTTTTCATCACCCCGCCCCATTCTCCCGCTTTCCAACACCCCAGCCCATTCTCTCGCTTACCATCACCCCGCCTCCTTCTTCCTCCTTCCATCACCCCGCCCCATTCTCCCTCCTTCCTTCACCCCGCCCCATTCTCCCGCTTTCCATCACCCTGCCCCATTCCCCCGCTTTCCATCACCCCGCCCCATTCTCCCGCTTTTCCATCACCCCGCCCCATTCTCCCTCCTTCCATCACCCCGCCCCATTCTCCCGCTTTCCATCACCCCGCCCCATTCTCCCGCTTTCCATCACCCCGCCCCCTTCTCCCTCCTTCCATCACCCCGCCCCATTCTCCCTCCTTCCATCACCCCGCCCCATTCTCCCGCTTTCCATCACCCCGCCCCATTCTCCCGCTTTCCATCACCCCGCCCCTTTCTCCCGCTTTCCATCTCCGTGCCCCATTCTCCCGCTTTCCATCACCCCGCCCCATTCTCCCGCTTTCCATCACCCTGCCCCATTCTCCCGCTTCCCATCATCCCGCCCCATTCTCCCGCTTTCTATCACCCCGCCCCATTCTCCCTCCTTCCATCACCCCGCCCCATTCTCCCGCTTTCCATCACCCCGCCCCATTCTCCCGCTTTCCACCACCCCGCCCCCTTCTCCCTCCTTCCATCACCCCGCCCCATTCTCCCTCCTTCCATCACCCCGCCCCATTCTCCCGCTTTCCATCAGCCTGCCCCATTCTCCCGCTTTCCATCACCCCGCCCCTTTCTCCCGCTTTCCATCTCCCTGCTCCATTCTCCCGCTTTCCATCACCCCGTCCCATTCTCCCGCTTTCCATCACCCCGCCCCATTCTCCCGCTTCCCATCATCCCGCCCCATTCCCCCGCTTTCCATCACCCCTCCCCATTCTCCCCTCTTCCATCACCCCGCCCCATTCTCCCGCTTTCCATCACCCCGCCCCATTCTTCTGCTTTCCATCACCCTGCCCCATTCTCCCGCTTTCCATCACCCTGCCCCATTCTCCCGCTTTCCATCACCCCGCCCCATTCTCCCACTTTCCATCACCCGCCCCATTCTCCCGCTTTCCATCACCCCACCCCATTCTCCCGCTTTCCATCACCCCGCCCCATTCTCCCGCTTTTCATCACCCCGCCCCATTCTCCCGCTTTCCAACACCCCAGCCCATTCTCTCGCTTACCATCACCCCGCCCCCTTCTTCCTCCTTCCATCACCCCGCCCCATTCTCCCTCCTTCCTTCACCCCGCCCCATTCTCCCGCTTTCCATCACCCTGCCCCATTCCCCCGCTTTCCATCACCCCGCCCCATTCTCCCGCTTTTCCATCACCCCGCCCCATTCTCCCTCCTTCCATCACCCCGCCCCATTCTCCCGCTTTCAATCACCCCGCCCCATTCTCCCGCTTTCCATCACCCCGCCCCCTTTTCCCTCCTTCCATCACCCCGCCCCATTCTCCCTCCTTCCATCACCCCGCCCCATTCTCCCGCTTTCCATCACCCCGCCCCATTCTCCCGCTTTCCATCACCCCGCCCCTTTCTCCCGCTTTCCATCTCCGTGCCCCATTCTCCCGCTTTCCATCACCCCGCCCCATTCTCCCGCTTTCCATCACCCTGCCCCATTCTCCCGCTTCCCATCATCCCGCCCCATTCTCCCGCTTTCTATCACCCCGCCCCATTCTCCCTCCTTCCATCACCCCGCCCCATTCTCCCGCTTTCCATCCACCCGCCCCATTCTCCCGCTTTCCACCACCCCGCCCCCTTCTCCCTCCTTCCATCACCCCGCCCCATTCTCCCTCCTTCCATCACCCCGCCCCATTCTCCCGCTTTCCATCAGCCCGCCCCATTCTCCCGCTTTCCATCACCCCGCCCCTTTCTCCCGCTTTCCATCTCCCTGCTCCATTCTCCCGCTTTCCATCACCCCGTCCCATTCTCCCGCTTTCCATCACCCCGCCCCATTCTCCCGCTTCCCATCATCCCGCCCCATTCCCCCGCTTTCCATCACCCCTCCCCATTCTCCCCTCTTCCATCACCCCGCCCCATTCTCCCGCTTTCCATCACCCCGCCCCATTCTCCCTCCTTCCATCACCCCGCCCCATTCTCCCTCCTTCCATCACCCCGCCCCATTCTCCCGCTTTCCATCACCCCGCCCCATTCTCCCGCTTCCCAGAACCCCACCCCATTCTCCCGCTTTCCATCACCCCGCCACAGTCTTCCACCTTCCATCAACCCGCCCCCTTCTCTCTCCTTCCATCACCCCGCCCCATTCTCCCTCCTTCCATCACCCCGCCCCATTCTCCCGCTTTCCATCAGCTCGCCCCATTCTCCCGCTTTCCATCACCCCTCCCCTTTCTCCCGCTTTCCATCTCCCCGCCCCATTCTCCCGCTTTCCATCACCCCGCCCCATTCTCCCGCTTTCCATCACCCCGACCCATTCTTCCGCTTCCCATCATCCCGCCCCATTCCCCCGCTTTCCATCACCCCTCCCCATTCTCCCTCCTTCTATCACCCCGCCCCATTCTCTCACTTTCCATCACCCCGCCCCATTCTCCCGCTTTCCATCACCCCGACCCATTCTCCCGCTTTCCATCACCCCGCCCCATTCTGCCTCCTTCCATCACCCCGCCCCATTCTCCCGCTTACCATCACCCCGCCCCATTCTCCCTCCTTCCATCACCCCGGCCCATTCTCCCTCATTCCATCACCCCGCTCCATTCTCCCGCTTTCCATCACACCGCGCCATTCTCCCGCTTCCCATAACCCCACCCCATTCTCCCGCTTTCCATCACCCCGCCACATTTTCCCACTTTCCATCACCCCGCCCCCTTCTCTCTCCTTCCATCACCCCGCCCCATTCTCCCTCCTTCCATCACCCCGCCCCATTCTCCCGCTTTCCATCACCCCGCCCCTTTCTCCGGCTTTCCATCTCCCCGCCCCATTCTCCCGCTTTCCATCACACCGCCCCATTCTCCCGCTTTCCATCACCCCGCCCCATTCTTACGCTTCCCATCATTCCGCCCCATTCCCCCGCTTTCCATCACCCCTCCCCATTCTCCCTCCTTCCATCACCCCGCCCCATTCTCCCACTTTCCATCACCCGCCCCATTCTCCCGCTTTCCATCACCTCGCCCCACTCTCCCGCTTTCCATCACCCCGCCCCATTCTTCTGCTTTCCATCACCCCGCCCCATTCTCCCGCTTTCCATCACCCTGCCCCATTCTCCCGCTTTCCATCACCCCGCCCCATTCTCCCACTTTCCATCACCCGCCCCATTCTCCCGCTTTCCATCACCCCACCCCATTCTCCCGCTTTCCATCACCCCGCCCCATTCTCCCGCTTTTCATCACCCCGCCCCATTCTCCCGCTTTCCAACACCCCAGCCCATTCTCTCGCTTACCATCACCCCGCCTCCTTCTTCCTCCTTCCATCACCCCGCCCCATTCTCCCTCCTTCCTTCACCCCGCCCCATTCTCCCGCTTTCCATCACCCTGCCCCATTCTCCCGCTTTCCATCACCCCGCCCCATTCTCCCGCTTTTCCATCACCCCGCCCCATTCTCCCTCCTTCCATCACCCCGCCCCATTCTCCCGCTTTCCATCACCCCGCCCCATTCTCCCGCTTTCCATCACCCCGCCCCCTTCTCCCTCCTTCCATCACCCCGCCCCATTCTCCCTCCTTCCATCACCCCGCCCCATTCTCCCGCTTTCCATCACCCCGCCCCATTCTCCCGCTTTCCATCACCCCGCCCCTTTCTCCCGCTTTCCATCTCCGTGCCCCATTCTCCCGCTTTCCATCACCCCGCCCCATTCTCCCGCTTTCCATCACCCTGCCCCATTCTCCCGCTTCCCATCATCCCGCCCCATTCTCCCGCTTTCTATCACCCCGCCCCATTCTCCCTCCTTCCATCACCCCGCCCCATTCTCCCGCTTTCCATCACCCCGCCCCATTCTCCCGCTTTCCACCACCCCGCCCCCTTCTCCCTCCTTCCATCACCCCGCCCCATTCTCCCTCCTTCCATCACCCCGCCCCATTCTCCCGCTTTCCATCAGCCTGCCCCATTCTCCCGCTTTCCATCACCCCGCCCCTTTCTCCCGCTTTCCATCTCCCTGCTCCATTCTCCCGCTTTCCATCACCTCGTCCCATTCTCCCGCTTTCCATCACCCCGCCCCATTCTCCCGCTTCCCATCATCCCGCCCCATTCCCCCGCTTTCCATCACCCCTCCCCATTCTCCCCTCTTCCATCACCCCGCCCCATTCTCCCGCTTTCCATCACCCCGCCCCATTCTCCCTCCTTCCATCACCCCGCCCCATTCTCCCTCCTTCCATCACCCCGCCCCATTCTCCCGCTTTCCATCACCCCGCCCCATTCTCCCGCTTCCCAGAACCCCACCCCATTCTCCCGCTTTCCATCACCCCGCCACAGTCTTCCACCTTCCATCAACCCGCCCCCTTCTCTCTCCTTCCATCACCCCGCCCCATTCTCCCTCCTTCCATCACCCCGCCCCATTCTCCCGCTTTCCATCAGCTCGCCCCATTCTCCCGCTTTCCATCACCCCTCCCCTTTCTCCCGCTTTCCATCTCCCCGCCCCATTCTCCCGCTTTCCATCACCCCGCCCCATTCTTCCGCTTTCCATCACCCCGCCCCATTCTTCCGCTTCCCATCATCCCGCCCCATTCCCCCGCTTTCCATCACCCCTCCCCATTCTCCCTCCTTCTATCACCCCGCCCCATTCTCTCACTTTCCATCACCCCGCCCCATTCTCCCGCTTTCCATCACCCCGACCCATTCTCCCGCTTTCCATCACCCCGCCCCATTCTGCCTCCTTCCATCACCCCGCCCCATTCTCCCGCTTTCCATCACCCCGCCCCATTCTCCCTCCTTCCATCACCCCGCCCCATTCTCCCTCATTCCATCACCCCGCTCCATTCTCCCGCTTTCCATCACCCCGCGCCATTCTCCCGCTTCCCATAACCCCACCCCATTCTCCCGCTTTCCATCACCCCGCCACATTTTCCCACTTTCCATCACCCCGCCCCCTTCTCTCTCCTTCCATCACCCCGCCCCATTCTCCCTCCTTCCATCACCCCGCCCCATTCTCCCGCTTTCCATCAGCCCGCCCCATTCTCCCGCTTTCCATCACCCCGCCCCTTTCTCCCGCTTTCCATCTCCCCGCCCCATTCTCCCGCTTTCCATCAGACCGCCCCATTCTCCCGCTTTCCATCACCCCGCCCCATTCTTCCGCTTCCCATCATCCCGCCCCATTCCCCCGCTTTCCATCACCCCTCCCCATTCTCCCTCCTTCCATCACCCCGCCCCTTTCTCCCGCTTTCCATCTCCCGCCCCATTCTCCCGCTTTCCATCACCCGCCCCATTCTCCCGCTTTCCATCACCTCGCCCCACTCTCCCGCTTTCCATCACCCCGCCCTATTCTTCTGCTTTCCATCACCCCGCCCCATTCTCCCGCTTTCCATCACCTCGCCCCACTCTCCCGCTTTCCATCACCCCGCTCCATTCTTCTGCTTTCCATCACCCCGCCCCATTCTCCCGCTTTCCATCACCCTGCCCCATTCTCCCGCTTTCCATCACCCCGCCCCATTCTCCCGCTTTCCATCACCCGCCCCATTCTCCCGCTTTCCATCACCCCGCCCCATTCTCCCGCTTTCCATCACCCCGCCCCATTCTCCCGCTTTTCATCACCCCGCCCCATTCTCCCCCTTTCCAACACCCCAGCCCATTCTCTCGCTTACCATCACCCCGCCCCCTTCTTCCTCCTTCCATCACCCCGCCCCATTCTCCCTCCTTCCTTCATCCCGCCCCATTCTCCCGCTTTCCATCACCCTGCCCCATTCTCCCGCTTTCCATCACCCCGCCCCATTCTCCCGCTTTTCCATCACCCCGCCCCATTCTCCCTCCTTCCATCACCCCGCCCCATTCTCCCGCTTTCCATCACCCCGCCCCATTCTCCCGCTTTCCATCACCCCGCCCCCTTCTCCCTCCTTCCATTACCCCGCCCCATTCTCCCGCTTTCCATCAGCCCGCCCCATTCTCCCACTTTCCATCACCCCGCCCCTTTCTCCCGCTTTCCATCTCCGTGCCCCATTCTCCCGAATTCCATCAACCCGCCCCATTCTCCCGCTTTCCATCACCCCGCCCCATTCTCCCGCTTCCCATCATCCCGCCCCATTCTCCCGCTTTCTATCACCCCGCCCCATTCTCCCTCCTTCCATCACCCCGCCCCATTCTCCCGCTTTCCATCACCCCGCCCCATTCTCCCGCTTTCCACCACCCCGCCCCATTCTCCCTCCTTCCATCACCCCGCCCCATTCTCCCTCCTTCCATCACCCCGCCCCATTCTCCCGCTTTCCATCAGCCCGCCCCATTCTCCCGCTTTCCATCACCCCGCCCCTTTCTCCCGCTTTCCATCTCCCTGCTCCATTCTCCCGCTTTCCATCACCCCGCCCCATTCTCCCGCTTCCCATCACCCCGCCCCATTCTCCCTCCTTCCATCACCCCGCCCCATTCTCCCGCTTTCCATCACCCCGCCCCATTCTCCCGCTTTCCATCACCCCGCCCCATTCTCCCGCTTCCCATCAACCCGCCCCATTCCCCCGCTTTCCATCACCCCTCCCCATTCTCCCCTCTTCCATCACCCCGCCCCATTCTCCTGCTTTCCATCACCCCGCCCCATTCTCCCTCCTTCCATCACCCCGCCCCATTCTCCCTCCTTCCATCACCCCGCCCCATTCTCCCGCTTTCCATCACCCCGCCCCATTCTCCCGCTTCCCATAACCCCACCCCATTCTCCCGCTTTCCATCACCCCGCCACAGTCTTCCACCTTCCATCAACCCGCCCCCTTCTCTCTCCTTCCATCACCCCGCCCCATTCTCCCTCCTTCCATCACCCCGCCCCATTCTCCCGCTTTCCATCAGCTCGCCCCATTCTCCCGCTTTCCATCACCCCTCCCCTTTCTCCCGCTTTCCATCTCCCCGCCCCATTCTCCCGCTTTCCATCACCCCGCCCCATTCTCCCGCTTTCCATCACCCCGCCCCATTCTCCCGCTTTCCATCACCCCGCCCCATTCTTCCGCTTCCCATCATCCCCCCCCATTCCCCCGCTTTCCATCACCCCTCCCCATTCTCCCTCCTTCTATCACCCCGCCCCATTCTCTCACTTTCCATCACCCCGCCCCATTCTCCCGCTTTCCATCACCCCGCCCCATTCTCCCGCTTTCCATCACCCCGCCCCATTCTGTCTCCTTCCATCACCCCGCCCCATTCTCCCGCTTTCCATCACCCCGCCCCATTCTCCCTCCTTCCATCACCCCGCCCCATTCTCCCTCATTCCATCACCCCGCTCCATTCTCCCGCTTTCCATCACCCCGCGCCATTCTCCCGCTTCCCATAACCCCACCCCATTCTCCCGCTTTCGATCACCCCGCCACATTTTCCCACTTTCCATCACCCCGCCCCCTTCTCTCTCCTTCCATCACCCCGCCCCATTCTCCCTCCTTCCATCACCCCGCCCCATTCTCCAGCTTTCTATCAGCCCGCCCCATTCTCCCGCTTTCCATCACCCCGCCGCTTTCTCCCGCTTTCCATCTCCCCGCCCCATTCTCCCGCTTTCCATCAGACCGCCCCATTCTCCCGCTTTCCAACACCCTGCCCCATTCTTCCGCTTCCCATCATCCCGCCCCATTCCCCCGCTTTCCATCACCCCTCCCCATTCTCCCTCCTTCCATCACCCCGCCCCTTTCTCCCGCTTTCCATCTCCCGCCCCATTCTCCCGCTTTCCATCACCCGCCCCATTCTCCCGCTTTCCATCACCTCGCCCCATTCTCCCGCTTTCCATCACCCCGCCCCATTCTTCTGCTTTCCATCACCCCGCCCCATTCTCCCGCTTTCCATCACCCTGCCCCATTCACCCGCTTTCCATCACCCGCCCCATTCTCCCGCTTTCCATCACACCGCCCCATTCTTCCGCTTTCCATCACCCCGCCCCATTCTCCCGCTTTCCATCACCCCGCCCCATTCTCCCTCTTCCCATTACCCCGCCCTATTCTCTCGCTTTCCATCACCCCGCCCCATTCTCCCGCTTTTCATCACCCCACCCCATTCTCCCGCTTTCCATCACCCCGTCCCATTCTCCCTCTTTCCATCACCCCGCCCCATTCCTCCTCTTTCCATCTCCCCGCCCCATTCTCCCTCTTTCTATCACCCCGCCTCATTCTCCCGCTTTCCATCACCCCGCCCCATTATCCCACTTTCCATCACCCCACCCCATTCTCCATCTTTACATCACCCCGCCCCACTCTCCCGCCTTCCATCACCCCGCCCCATTCTCCATCTTTCCATCACCCTGCCCAATTCTCCCGCCTTCCATCACCCCACCCCATTCTCCCGTCTTCCATCACCCCGCCCCATTCTCCCGCTTTCCATCACCCCACCCTATTCTCCCACTTTCCATCACCCCGCCATATTCTTCCTCTTTCCATCACCCCGCCCCATTCTCCCGCTTTCCATCACCCCGCCCCATTTTCCCTCTTTCCATCACCCCGCCCCATTCTCCCGCTTTCCATCACCCCGCCCCATTCTCCCTCTTCCCATCACCCCGCCCCATTCTCCCGCCTTTCATCACCCCGCCCCATTCTCCCGCTTTCCATCACCCCGCCCAATTCTCCCGCTTCCCATCACCCCGCCCCATTCTCCTGCCTTCCATCACCCCGCCCTATTCTCCCTCTTTCCATCACCCCGCCCCATTTTCCCGCTCTACATCACCCCGCCCCGTTCTCCCGCTTTCCATCACCCCGCCCCATTCTCCCGCTTTCCATCACCCCACCCCATTCTCCCGCTTTCCATCACCCCGCCCCATTCTCCCGGTTTCCATCACCCCGGCCCATTTTCCCGCTTTCCATCACCCCGCCCCATTCTCCCGCTTTCCATCACCCCGCCCCATTCTCCCGCTTTCCATCACCCCGTCCCGTTCTCTCGCTTTCCATCACCATGCCCCATTCTTCCGCTTTCCATCACCCCGCCCGCTCCATTCTCCCGCTTTCCATCACCCCGCCCAATTCTCCCTCTTTCCATCACCCCTCCCCATTTTTCCTCTTTCCATCACCCCGCCCCATTCTCCCTCTTTGCATCACCCAGCCCCATTCTCCCGCTTTCCATCACCCCGTCCCATTCTCCCTCTTTCCATCACCCCGCCCAATTCTCCCTCTTTCCATCACCCCGCCCCATTCTCCAGCTTTCCGTCACCCCGCCCCATTCTCCCTCTTTCCATCACCCTGCCCCATTCTCCCTCTCTCCATCACCCCGCCCCATTCTCCCTCTTTCCATCACCCCGCCCCATTCTCCCGCTTTCCTTCACCCCGCGCCATTTAACCTCTTTCCATCACCCGCCCCATTCTCCCGCTTTCCATCACCCAGCTCCATTGTCCCGCTTTCCATCACCCCGCCCAATTCTCCCTCTTTCTATCACCCCGCCCCATTCTCCCTCTTTCCATCACCCCGCCCCATTCTCCTGCTTTCCATCACCCCGCCCCATTCTCCCTCTTTCCATCACCCCGCTCCATTCTCCCTCTTTCCATTACCCCGCCCCATTCTCCTGCTTTCCATCACCCCGCCCCATTCTCCCTCTTTCCATCACCCCGCCCCATTCTCCCTCTTTCCATTACCCCGCCCCATTCTCCTGCTTTCCATCACCCTGCCCCATTCTCCCTCTTTCCATCACCCCGCCCCATTCTCCAGCTTTCCATCACCTCGCTCCATTCTCCCGCTTTCCATCACCGCGCCCAATTCTCCCGCTTTCCATCACCCCTCTCCATTCTCCCTCTTTCCATCTCCCCGCCCCATTCTCCTTCTTTCCATCAACCCGTCCCATTCTCCCTCTATCCGTCACCCCACCCCATTCTCCCTGTTTCCATCACCTCGCCCCATTCTCCCGCTTTCCATCACCCCGTCCCATTCTCCCTCTTTCCATCACCCCGCCCAATTCTCCCTCTTTCCATCACCCCGCCCCATTCTCCAGCTTTCCGTCACCCCGCCCCATTCTCCCTCTTTCCATCACCCTGCCCCATTCCCCCTCTCTCCATCACCCCGCCCCATTCTCCCTCTTTCCATCACCCCGCCCCATTCTCCCGCTTTCCTTCACCCCGCGCCATTTAACCTCTTTCCATCACCCGCCCCATTCTCCCGCTTTCCATCACCCAGCTCCATTGTCCCGCTTTCCATCACCCCGCCCAATTCTCCCTCTTTCTATCACCCCGCCCCATTCTCCCTCTTTCCATCACCCCGCCCCATTCTCCTGCTTTCCATCACCCCGCCCCATTCTCCCTCTTTCCATCACCCCCCTCCATTCTCCCTCTTTCCATTACCCCGCCCCATTCTCCTGCTTTCCATCACCCCGCCCCATTCTCCCTCTTTCCATCACCCCGCCCCATTCTCCCTCTTTCCATTACCCCGCCCCATTCTCCTGCTTTCCATCACCCCGCCCCATTCTCCCTCTTTCCATCACCCCGCCCCATTCTCCAGCTTTCCATCACCTCGCTCCATTCTCCCGCTTTCCATCACCGCGCCCAATTCTCCCGCTTTCTATCACCCCTCTCCATTCTCCCTCTTTCCATCTCCCCGCCCCATTCTCCTTCTTTCCATCAACCCGTCCCATTCTCCCTCTATCCATCACCCCACCCCATTCTCCCTGTTTCCATCACCTCGCCCCATTCTCCCTCTTTCCATGACCGCGCCCCATTCTTCCTGTTTCCATCACCTCGCCCCATTCTCTCGCTTTCCATCACCCCTCCCTATTCTCCCTCTTTCCATCACCCCGCCCCATTCTCCCGCTTTCCATCACCCCGCCCCATTCTCCTTCTTTCCATCACCCCGCCCCATTCTCCACCTTTATATCACCCTGCCCCATTCTCCCGATTTCCATCACCCCAGCCCATTCTCCCGCTTTCCATCACCCCGACCCATTCTCCCGCTTTCCATCACCCCGCCCCGTTCTCCCGCTTTCCATCACACCGCCCCATTCTCCCTCTTTCCATCACCCCGCCCCATTCTCCCGCTTTCCATCACCCCGCCCCATTCTCCCGCTTTCCATCACCCCGCCCCGTTCTCCCGCTTTCCATCACCCCGCCTCATTCTCCCTCTTTCCATCAACCCGCCCCATTCTCCCTATTTCCATCACCCCGGTCCATTCTCCCGCTTTCCATCACCCCGCCCAATTCTCCCTCTTTCCATCACCCCTCTCCATTCTCCCTCTTTCCATCACCCCGCCCCATTCTCCCGCTTTCCATTACCCCGCCCCATTCTCCCTCTTTCCATCACCCGCCCCATTCTCGCGTCTTTCATCACCCCGCCCCATTCTCCCTCTTTCCATCACCCCGCCCAATTCTCCCACTTTCCATCACCCTGCCCCATTCTCCCACCTTTCATCACCCCGCCCCATTCTCCCTCTTTCCATCAACCTGCCCCATTCTCCCTCTTTCCATCACCCCGCCTTATTCTCCCTCTTTCCATCACCCCGCCCCATTCTCCCGATTTCCATCACCCCGCCCCATTCTCCCGCTTTCCATCACCCCGCCCCGTTCTCCCACTTTCCATCACCCCGCCTCATTCTCCCTCTTTCCATCAACCCGCCCCATTCTCCCTCTTTCCATCACCCCGCTCCATTCTCCCGCTTTCCATCACCCTGCCCGCTCCATTCTCCCGCTTTCCATCACCCCGCCCAATTCTCCCTCTTTCCATCACCCCTCCCCATTCTCCCTCTTTCCATCACCCCGCCCCATTCTCCCGCTTTCCATCACCCCGCCCCATTCTCCCGCTTTCCATCACCCGCCTTATTCTCCCGTCTTTCATCACCCCGCCCCATTCTCCCTCTTTCCATAAACCCGCCCCATTCCCCCTCTTTCCATCACCCCGCCTTATTCTCCCTCTTTCCATCACCCCGCTCCATTCTCCCGATTTCCAGCACCCCGCCCCATTCTCCCGCTTTCCATCACCCCGCCCCATTCTCCCTCTATCAATCACCCCGCACAAATCTCCGACTTTCCATCACCCCGTCCCATTCTCCTGTTTTCCATCACCCCGCCCCATTCTCTCGCTTTCTATCACCCCGCCTTATTCTCCCGCTTTCCATCACCCCGCACCATTCTCTCGCTTTCCATCACCCCGCCCCATTCTCACTATCTCCATCACCCCTCCCTATTCTCCCTCTTTCCATCACCCCGCCCCATTCTCATGCTTTCTATCACCCCGCCCCATTCTCCCTCTTTCCATCACCCCGCCCCATTCTCCCGCCTTCCATCACCCCGCCCCATTCTCCTTCCTTCTATCACCCTGGCCAATTCTCCCGCTTTCCATCACCGCGCCCCATTCTCCCGCCTTCCATCACCCCGCCCCATTCTCCCTCTTTCCATCACCCCGCTCCATTCTCCCGCTTTCCATCACCCCGCCCCATTCTCCAGCCCCATTCTCCCTCTTTCCATCACCCCGCCCCATTCTCTCGCTTTCCATCACCCCGCCCCATTTTCCCTCTTTCCATCACCCCGCCCCATTCTCCCGCTTTCCATCACCCCGCCCCATTCTCCCGCTTTCCATCACCCCGCTCCATTCTCCCGCTTTCCATCACCCCGCCCAATTCTCCCTCTTTCCATCACCCCACCCCATTCTCCCGATTTCCATCACCCCTCCCCATTCTCCCGCTTTCCATCACCCCGCCCCATTCTCCCTCTATCCATCACCCCGCCCAATTCTCCCACTTTCCATCACCCCGTCCCATTCTCCTGTTTTCCATCACCCCGCCCCATTCTCTCGCTTTCTATCATCCCGCCTTATTCTCCCGCTTTCCATCACCCCGCACCATTCTCACTATCTCCATCACCCCTCCCCATTCTCCCTCTTTCCATCACCCCGCCCCATTCTCATGCTTTCTATCACCCCGCCCCATTCTCCCTCTTTCCATCACCCCGCCCCATTCTCCTGCATTCTATCACCCTGCCCCATTCTCCATCCTTCCATCACCCCACCCCATTCTCCTGCTTGCCATCAACTCGCCTGGCTGGTGGGGGTGCTGGGAGCAACTCACCTGGCTGGTGGGGGTGCTGGGAGCAACTCACCTGGCTGGTGGGGGTGCCTGGAGCAACTCGTCTAGCTGGTGGGGGTGCTGGGAGCAACTTGCCTGGCTGGTGGGGGTGTTGGGAGCAACTCGCCTGGCCAGTGGGGGTGCTGGGAGCAACTCGCCTTGCTGGTGGGGGTGCTGGGAGCAACTTGCCTGGCTGGTGGGGGTGCTGGGAGCAACTCGCCTGGCTGGTGGGGGTGCTGGGAGCAACTCGCCTGGCTGGTGGGGGTGCTGGGAGCAACTCGCCTGGCTGGTCGGGGTGCTGGGAGCAACTCACCTGGCTGGTGGGGGTGCTGAGAGCAACTCACATGGCTGGTGGGGGTGCTAGGAGCAACTCGTCTGGCTGGTGGGGGTGCTGGGAGCAACTCGCCTGGCTGGTGGGGGTGCTGGGAGCAACTCGCCTGGCTGGTGGGGGTGCTGGGAGCAATTCGCCTGGCTGGTGGGGGTGCTGGGAGCAACTCGCCTGGCTGGTGGGGGTGCTGGGAGCAACTCGCCTTGCTGGTGGGAGTGCTGGGAGCAACTCGCCTGGCTGGTGGGGGTGCTGGGAGCAACTCGCCTGGCTGGTGGGGGTGCTGGGAGCAACTCGCCTGGCTGGTGGGGGTGCTGGGAGCAACTCGCCTGGCTGGTGGGGGTGCTGGGAGCAACTCGCCTCGCTGGTGGGTGTGCTGGGAGCAATTCACCTGGCTGGTGGGGGTGCTGGGATCAACTCGTCTGGCTGGTGGGGGGTGCTGGGAGCAACTCGCCTGGCTGGTGGGGGTGCTAGGAGCAACTCACCTGGCAGGTGGGGGTGTTAGGACCAACTCACCTGGCTGGTGGGGGTCCTCGGAGCAATTCACCTGGCTGGTGGGGGTGATGGGAGCAACTCACCTAGCTGGTGGGGGTGCTGGGAGCAACTCACCTGGCTGGTGGGGGTGCTGGGAGCAACTCACCTGGCTGGTGGGGGTGCTAGGAGCAACTCACCTGGCTGGTGGGGGTGCTGGGAGCAACTCGCCTGGCTGGTGGGGGTGCTGGGAGCAACTCACCTGGCTGGTGGGGGTGCTAGGAGCAACTCACCAGGCTGATGGGGGTCCTGGGAGCAACTCGCCTGGCTGGTGGGGGTGCTGGGAGCAACTCACCTAGCAACTCACCTGGCTGGTGGGGGTGCTGGGAGCAACTCACCTGGCCGGTGGGGGTGCTGGGAGCAACTCACCTGGCTGGTGGGGGTGCTGGGAGCAACTCACCTGGCTGGTGGGGGTGCTGGGAGCAAGTAACCTGGCCTGTAGGGGTGCTGGGAGCAACTCGCCTGGCTGGTGGGGGTGCTGGGAGCAACTCGCCCGGCTGGTGGGGGTGCTGGGAGCAATTCGCCTGGCTGGTGGGGGTGCTGGGAGCAACTCGCCTGGCTGGTGGGGGTGCTGGGAGCAACTCGCCTTGCTGGTGGGAGTGCTGGGAGCAACTCGCCTGGCTGGTGGGGGTGCTGGGAGCAACTCGCCTGGCTGGTGGGGGTGCTGGGAGCAACTCGCCTGGCTGGTGGGGGTGCTGGGAGCAACTCGCCTGGCTGGTGGGGGTGCTGGGAGCAACTCGCCTGGCTGGTGGGTGTGCTGGGAGCAACTCACCTGGCTGGTGGGGGTGCTGGGAGCAACTCACCTGGCTGGTGGGGGTGCTTGGAGCAACTCACCTGGCTGGTGGGGGTGCTGGGAGCAACTCACCTGGTTGGTGGGGGTGCTGGGAGCAACTCGCCTGGCTGGTAGGGGTGCTGGGAGCAACTCACATGGCTGGTGGGGGTGCTGGGAGCAACTCATCTGGCTGGTGGGGGTGCTAGGAGCAACTCACCTGGCTGGTGGGGGTGCTGGGAGCAACTCACCTGGCTGGTGGGGGTGCTGGGAGCAACTTATCTGGCTGGTGGGGTTGTTGGGAGCAACTCACCTGGCTGGTGGGGGTGCTGGGAGCAACTCACCTGGCTCGTGGGGGTGCTAGGAGCAACTCACCTGGCTGTTGGGGGTGCTGGGAGCAACTCACCTGTCTGGTGGGGTTGCTGGGAGCAACTCACCTGGCTGGTGGGGGTGCTGGGAGCAACTTTCCTGGCTGGTGGGGGTGCTGGGAGCAATTCACCTGGCTGGTGGGGGTGCTGGGAGCAACTCGCTTGGCTAGTGGGGGTGCTGGGAGCAACTTGCCTGGCTGGTGGGGGTGCTGAGAGCAACTCGCCTGGCTTGTGGGGGTGCTGGGAGCAACTCACCCGGCTGGTGGGGGTGCTGGAAGCAACTCACCTGGCTGGTGAGGATGCTAGGAGCAACTCGTCTAGCTAGTGGGGGTGCTGGGAGCAACTCACCTGGCTGGTAGAGGTGCTGGGAGCAACTCGCCTGGCTGGTGGGGGTGCTGGGAGCAACTCGCCTGGCTGGTGGGGGTGCTGGGAGCAACTCGCCTGGCTGGTGGGTGTGCTGGGAGCAACTCACCTGGCTGGTGGGGGTGCTGGGAGCAACTCACCTGGCTGGTGGGGGTGCTTGGAGCAACTCACCTGGCTGGTGGGGGTGCTGGGAGCAACTCACCTGGTTGGTGGGGGTGCTGGGAGCAACTCGCCTGGCTGGTAGGGGTGCTGGGAGCAACTCACATGGCTGGTGGGGGTGCTGGGAGCAACTCATCTGGCTGGTGGGGGTGCTAGGAGCAACTCACCTGGCTGGTGGGGGTGCTGGGAGCAACTCACCTGGCTGGTGGGGGTGCTGGGAGCAACTTATCTGGCTGGTGGGGTTGTTGGGAGCAACTCACCTGGCTGGTGGGGGTGCTGGGAGCAACTCACCTGGCTCGTGGGGGTGCTAGGAGCAACTCACCTGGCTGTTGGGGGTGCTGGGAGCAACTCACCTGGCTGGTGGGGGTGCTGGGAGCAACTTTCCTGGCTGGTGGGGGTGCTGGGAGCAATTCACCTGGCTGGTGGGGGTGCTGGGAGCAACTCGCTTGGCTAGTGGGGGTGCTGGGAGCAACTTGCCTGGCTGGTGGGGGTGCTGAGAGCAACTCGCCTGGCTTGTGGGGGTGCTGGGAGCAACTCACCCGGCTGGTGGGGGTGCTGGAAGCAACTCACCTGGCTGGTGAGGATGCTAGGAGCAACTCGTCTAGCTAGTGGGGGTGCTGGGAGCAACTCACCTGGCTGGTAGAGGTGCTGGGAGCAACTCGCCTGGCTGGTGGGGGTGCTGGGAGCAACTCACCTAGCAACTCACCTGGCTGGTGGGGGTGCTGGGAGCCACTCACCTGGCCGGTGGGGGTGCTGGGAGCAACTCACCTGGCTGGTGGGGGTGCTGGGAGCAACTCACCTGGCTGTTGGCGGTGCTGGGAGCAACTTGCCTGGCTGGTGGGGTTGCTGGGAGCAACTCACCTGGCTGGTGGGGGTGCTGGGAGCAACTCGCCTGGCTGGTGGGGGTGCTAGGAGCAATTCGCCTGGCTGGTGGGGGTGCTGGGAGCAACTCGCCTGGCTGGTGGGGGCGCTGGGAGCAATTCGCCTGGCTGGTGGGGGTGCTGGGAGCAACTCGCCTGGCTGGTGGGGGTGCTGGGAGCAACTCGCCTTGCTGGTGGGAGTGCTGGGAGCAACTCGCCTGGCTGGTGGGGGTGCTGGGAGCAACTCGCCTGGCTGGTGGGGGTGCTGGGAGCAACTCGCCTGGCTGGTGGGGGTGCTGGGAGCAACTCGCCTGGCTGGTGGGGGTGCTGAGAGCAACTCGCCTCGCTGGTGGGTGTGCTGGGAGCAACTCACCTGGCTGGTGGGGGTGCTGGGAGCAACTCACCTGGCTGGTGGGGGTGCTTGGAGCAACTCACCTGGCTGGTGGGGGTGCTGGGAGCAACTCACCTGGTTGGTGGGGGTGCTGGGAGCAACTCGCCTGGCTGGTAGGGGTGCTGGGAGCAACTCACATGGCTGGTGGGGGTGCTGGGAGCAACTCACCTGGCTGGTGGGGGTGCTAGGAGCAACTCACCTGGCTGGTGGGGGTGCTGGGAGCAACTCACCTGGCTGGTGGGGGTGCTGGGAGCAACTCATCTGGCTGGTGGGGTTGTTGGGAGCAACTCACCTGGCTGGTGGGGGTGCTGGGAGCAACTCACCTGGCTCGTGGGGGTGCTAGGAGCAACTCACCTGGCTGTTGGGGGTGCTGGGAGCAACTCACCTGTCTGGTGGGGTTGCTGGGAGCAACTCACCTGGCTGGTGGGGGTGCTGGGAGCAACTCGCCTGGCTGGTGGGGGTGCTAGGAGCAACTCACCAGGCTGATGGGGATCCTGGGAGCAACTCGCCTGGCTGGTGGGGGTGCTGGGAGCAACTCACCAGGCTGATGGGGGTCCTGGGAGCAACTCGCCTGGCTGGTGGGGGTGCTGGGAGCAATTCACCTAGCAACTCACCTGGCTGGTGGGGGTGCTGGGAGCAACTCACCTGGCTGGTGGGGGTGCTGGGAGCAACTCACCTGGCTGTTGGGGGTGCTGGGAGCAACTCACCTGGCTGGTGGGGTTGCTGGGAGCAACTCACCTGGCTGGTGGGGGTGCTGGGAGCAACTCGCCTGGCTGATGGAGGTGCTAGGAGCAATTCGCCTGGCTGGTGGGGGTGCTGGGAGCAACTCGCCTGGCTGGTGGGGGTGCTGGGAGCAATTCGCCTGGCTGGTGGAGGTGCTGAGAGCAACTCGCCTGGCTGGTGGGGGTGCTGGGAGCAACTCGCCTTGCTGGTGGGAGTGCTGGGAGCAACTCGCCTGGCTGGTGGGGGTGCTGGGAGCAACTCGCCTGGCTGGTGGGGGTGCTGGGAGCAACTCGCCTGGCTGGTGGGGGTGCTGGGAGCAACTCGCCTGGCTGGTGGGGGTGCTGGGAGCAACTCGCCTCGCTGGTGGGTGTGCTGGGAGCAACTCACCTGGCTGGTGGGGGTGCTGGGAGCAACTCACCTGGCTGGTGGGGGTGCTTGGAGCAACTCACCTGGCTGGTGGGGGTGCTGGGAGCAACTCACCTGGTTGGTGGGGGTGCTGGGAGCAACTCGCCTGGCTGGTAGGGGTGCTGGGAGCAACTCACATGGCTGGTGGGGGTGCTGGGAGCAACTCACCTGGCTGGTGGCCGTGCTAGGAGCAACTCACCTGGCTGGTGGGGGTGCTGGGAGCAACTCACCTGGCTGGTGGGGGTGCTGGGAGCAACTCATCTGGCTGGTGGGGTTGTTGGGATTAACTCACCTGGCTGGTGGGGGTGCTGGGAGCAACTCACTTGGCTCGTGGGGGCGCTAGGAGCAACTCACCTGGCTGTTGGGGGTGCTGGGAGCAACTCACCTGTCTGGTGGGGTTGCTGGGAGCAACTCACCTGGCTGGTGGGGGTGCTGGGAGCAACTTTCCTGGCTGGTGGGGGTGCTGGGAGCAATTCACCTGGCTGGTGGGGGTGCTGGGAGCAACTCGCTTGGCTAGTGGGGGTGCTGGGAGCAACTTGCCTGGCTGGTGGGGGTGCTGAGAGCAACTCGCCTGGCTTGTGGGGGTGCTGGGAGCAACTCACCCGGCTGGTGGGGGTGCTGGAAGCAACTCACTTGGCTGGTGAGGATGCTAGGAGCAACTCGTCTAGCTAGTGGGGGTGCTGGGAGCAACTCACCTGGCTGGTAGAGGTGCTGGGAGCAACTCGCCTGGCTGGTGGGGGTGCTGGGAGCAACTCGCTTGGCTGGTGGGGGTGCTGGGAGCAACTCGCCTGGCTGGTGGGGGTGCTGGGAGCAACTCACCTGGCTGGTGGGGGTGCTGGGAGCAACTCACCTGGCTGTTGGTGGTGCTGGGAGCAACTCACCTGGCTGGTGGGGTTGCTGGGAGCAACTCACCTGGCTGGTGGGGGTGCTGGGAGCAACTCGCCTGGCTGGTGGGGGTGCTAGGAGCAACTCGCCTGGCTGGTGGGGGTGCTGGGAGCAACTCGCCTGGCTGGTGGGGGTGCTGGGAGAAACTCGCCTGGCTGGTGGGGGTGCTGGGAGCAACTCGCCTGGCTGGTGGGGGAGCTGGGAGCAACTCGCCTGGCTGGTGGGGGTGCTGGGAGCAACTCACCTGGCTGGTGGGGGTGCTGGGAGCAACTTACCTGGCTGGTGGGGGTGCTGGGAGCAACTCGCCTGGCTGGTGAGGATGCTAGGAGCAACTCGCGTGGCTAGTGGGGGTGCTGGGAGCAACTCGCCTGGCTGGTGGGGGTGCTGGGAGCAACTTGATTGGCTGGTGGGGGTGCTGGGACCAACTCGATTGGCTGGTGGGGGTGCTGGGAGCAACTCGCCTGGCTGGTGGGGGAGCTGGGAGCAACTCGCCTGGCTTGTGGGGGTGCTGGGAGCAACTCACCTGGCTGGTGGGGGTGCCGGGAGCAACTCACCTGGCTGGTGGGGGTGCTGGGAGCAACTTGCCTGGCTGGTGAGGATGCTAGGAGCAACTCGCCTGGCTAGTGGGGGTGCTGGGAGCAACTCGCCTGGCTGGTGGGGGTGCTGGGAGCAACTCGATTGGCTAGTGGGGGTGCTGGGAGCCACTCGATTGGCTGGTGGGGGTGCTGGGAGCAACTCGCCTGGCTGGTGGGGGTGCTGGGAGCAACTCACCTGGCTGGTGGGGGTGCTGGGAGCAACTCACCTGGCTGGTGGGGGTGCTGGGAGCAACTCACCTGGCTGGTGGGGGTGCTGGGAGCAACTCACCTAGCTAGTGGGGGTGCTGGGAGCAACTTGCCTGGCTGGTGGGGGTGTTGGGGTAACTCGCGTGGCTGGTGTGGGTGCTGGGAGCAACTCGCGTGGCTGGTGGGGGTGCGGGGAGCAACTCGCCTGGCTGGTGGGGGTGCTGGGAGCAACTCGCCTGGCTGGTGGGGATGCTAGGAGCAACTCACCTGGCCGGTTGGGGTGCTGAGAGCAACTCGCCTGGCTAGTGGGGGTGCTGGGAGCAACTCGTCTGTCTGGTGGGGGTGCTGAGAGCAACTCGCCTGGCTGGTGGGGGTGCTGGAAGCAACTCGCTTGGCTGGTGGGGGTGCTGGGAGCAACTCGCCTGGCTGGTGGGGGTGCTGGGAGCAACTCACCTGGCTGGTGGGGGTGCTGGGAGCAACTCGTCTGGGTGGTGGGGGTGCTGGGAGCAGAGGAGCCTGGCTGGTGGGGGTGCTGAGAGCAACTCGCCTGGCTGGTGGGGGTGCTGGGAGCAACTCGCCTGGCTGGTGGGGGTGCTGGGAGCAACTCGCCTGGCTGGTGGGGGTGCTGGGAGCAACTCGCCTGGCTAGTGGGGGTGCTGGCAGCAACTCGCCTGGCTGGTGGGGGTGCTGGGAGCAACTCACCTGGCTGGTGGGGGTGCTCGGAGCAACTCGCCTAGCTGGTGGGGGTGCTGGGAGCAACTCACCTGGCTGGTGAGGATGCTAGGAGCAACTCGACTGGCTAGTGGGGGTGCTGGGAGCAACTCACCTCGCTGGTGGGGGTGTTGGGAGCAATTTACCTGGCTGGTGGGGGTGCTGGGAGCAACTCACCTGACTGGTGGGGGTGCTGGGAGCAACTCGCTTGGCCGGTGGGGGTGCTGGTAGCAACTCGCCTGGCTGGTGGGGGTGCTAGGAGCAACTCGCCTAGCTGGTAGGAATGCTGGGAGCAACTCGCCTGGCCGGTGGGGGTGCTGGGAGCAACTCGCCTGGCCGGTGGGGGTGCTGGGAGCAACTCACTCTCTTGAGCAGAGGAGTAACTTTAGATATCTGCTCAATCCAAATAACATTCACACACACTCAGAGAATCCAAACCACACCAAACACAAATTCTTGCATACGCTCACACCACGCATGCAACGCACGAACACATGATGTGAGGCAGACAGACGTGAATGCGTATGGTAGCATCACTCAACAGAAAGTGGGAGAACGGGGCGGGGTGATGGAAAGCGGGAGAATGGGGCGGGGTGATGGAAAGCTGGAGAATGGGGCGGGTGATGGAAAGCAGGAGAATGTGGTGGAGTGATGAAAAGATTGAGAATGGGGCGGGGTGATGGAAAGCGGGAGAATGGGGCGGGGTGAAGGAAAGCGGGAGAATGGGGCGGGGTGATGGAAAGCGGGAGAAAGGGGCGGGGTGATGCAAGGAGGGAGAATGGAGTGGGGTGATGGAAGGAGGGAGATTGGGCCGGGGTGATGGAAAGCGGGAGAAGGGGGCGAGGTGATGGAAAGCGGGAGAATAGGGCGGGGCTATGAAATGCGGGAGACTGGGGCGGGGTGAGGGAAAGCGGGAGAAAGGGGCGGGGTGATGGAAAGCGGGAGAATGGGGCGGGGTGATGGAAAGCGGGAGAATGGGGCGGGGTTATGGAAGGAGGGAGAATGGGGCGGGGTGATGGAAGGAGGGAGAATAGGGCGGGGTGATGGAAAGCAGGAGAATGGGGCGGGGTGATGGAAAGCGTGAGAATAGGGCGGTGTGATGGAAAGCGGGAGAATGGGGCGGGGTGATGGAAAGAGGGAGAATGGGGAGGGGTGATGGAAAGCGGGAGAATGGGACGGGGTGATGGAAAGCGGGAGAATGGGGCGGGGTGATGGAAAGCGGGAGAATGGGGCGGGGTAATGGAAAGCGGGAGAATGGGGCGGGGTGATGGAAAGCGGGAGAATGGAGCGGGTGATGGAAAGCGGGAGAATGGGGCGGGGTGATGGAAAGCGGGAGAATGGGGCAGGGTGTTGGAAAGCGGGAGAATGGGGCGGGGTGATGGAAAGCGGGAGAATCGGGCGGGGTGATGGAAAGCGGGAGAATGGGGCGGGGTGATGGAAAGAGGGAGAATGGGACGGGGTGATGGAAAGCTGGAGAATGGGGCGTGGTGATGGAAAGCGGGAGAATGGGACGGGGTGATCGAAAGCGGGAGAATGGGGCGGGGTGATGGAAAGCGGGAGAATGGGGCGGGGTAATGTAAGGAGGGAGAACGGGGTAGGGTCATGGAAGGAGGGAGAATGGGGCGGGGTGATGGAAAGCAGGAGAATGGGGAGGAGTGATGGAAAGCGGGAGAATGGGGCGGGGTGATGGAAAGCGGGAGAATGGGGCGGGGTGATGGAAAGCGGGAGAATGGGGCGGGGTGATGGAAAGCGGGAGAATGGGGCGGGGTGATGGAAAGTGGGGGAATGGGGCGGGGTGATGGATAGCAGGAGAATGGGGCGGGGTGACGCAAAGCGGGAAAATGGGGCGGGGTGATGGAAAGCGGGAGAATGGGGCTGGGTGATGGAATGCGGAAGAATGGGGCGGGGTGATGGAAAGCAGGAGAATGGGGCGGGGTGATGGAAGGAGGGAGAATGGGGTGGGGTGATGGTAGGAGGGAGATTGGGCCGAGGTGATGGAAAGCGGGAGAAGGGGGCGAGGTGATGGAAAGCGGGAGAATAGGGCGGGGCTATGAAATGCGGGAGACTGGGGCGGGGTGAGGGAAAGCGGGAGAATGGGGCGGGGTGATGGAAATCGGGAGAATGGGGCGGGGTGATGGAAAGCGGAAGAATGGGGCGGGGTTATGGAAGGAGGGAGAATGGGGCGGGGTGATGGAAGGAGGGAGAATGGGGCGGGGTGATGGAAAGCAGGTGAATGGGGCGGGGTGATGGAAAGCGTGAGAATAGGGTGGTGTGATGGAAAGCGGGAGAATGGGGCGGGGTGATGGAAGAAGGGAGAATGGGGAGGGGTGATGGAAAGCGGGAGAATGGGACGGGGTGATGGAAAGCGGGAGAATGGGGCGGGGTGATGGAAAGCGGGAGAATGGGGCGGCGTGATGGAAAGCGGGAGAATGGGGCGGGGTGATGGAAAGCGGGAGAATGGAGCGGGTGATGGAAAGCGGGAGAATGGGGCGGGGTGATGGAAAGCGGGAGAATGGGGCGGGGTGATGGAAAGCGGGAGAATGGGGCGGGGTTATGGAAAGCGGGAGAATCGGGCGGGGTGATGGAAAGCGGGAGAATGGGGCGGGGTGATGGAAAGAGGGAGAATGGGACGGGGTGATGGAAAGCTGGAGAATGGGACGGGGTGATGGAAAGCGGGAGAATGGGGCGGGGTGATGGAAAGCGGGAGAATGGGGCGGGGTAATGGAAGGAGGGAGAATGGGGCGGGGTCATGGAAGGAGGGAGAATGGGGCAGGGTGATGGAAAGCGGGAGAATGGGGAGGGGTGATGGAAAGCGGGAGAATGGGGTGGGGTGATGGAAAGCGGGAGAATGGGGCGGGGTGATGGAAAGCGGGAGAATGGGGCGGGGTGATGGAAAGTGGGGGAATGGGGCGGGGTGATGGATAGCGGGAGAATGGGGCGGGGTGACGGAAAGAGGGAAAATGGGGCGGGGTGATGGAAAGCGGGAGAATGGGGCTGGGTGATGAAATGCGGAAGAATGGGGCGGGGTGATGGAAAGCAGGAGAATGGGACGAGGTGATGGAAGGAGGGAGAATGGGGCGAGGTGATGGAAGAAGGGAGAATGGGGCGGGGTGATGGAAGGCTGGAGAATGGGGCGTGGTGATGGAAAGCGGGAGAATGGGACGGGGTGATGGAAAGCGGGAGAATGGGGCGGGGTGATGGAAAGCGGGAGAATGGGGCGGGGTAATGGAAGGAGGGAGAATGGGGCGGGGTCATGGAAGGAGGGAGAATGGGGCAGGGCGATGGAAAGCAGGAGAATGGGGAGGGGTGATGGAAAGCGGGAGAATGGGGCGGGGTGATGGAAAGCGGGAGAATGGGGCGGGGTGATGGGAAGTGGGGGAATGGGGCGGGGTGATGGATAGCGGGAGAATGGGGCGGGGTGACGGAAAGCGGGAAAATGGGGCGGGGTGATGGAAAGCGGGAGAATGGGGCGGGGTGATGGAAAGCGGGAGAATGGGGCGGGGTGATGGACAGTGGGGGAATGGGGCGGGGTGATGGATAGCGGGAGAATGGGACGGGGTGACGGAAAGCGGGAAAATGGGGCGGGGTGATGGAAAGCGGGAGAATGGGGCTGGGTGATGAAATGCGGAAGAATGGGGCGGGGTGATGGAAAGCAGGAGAATGGGGCGGGGTGATGGAAGGAGGGAGAATGGGGCGAGGTGATGGAAGAAGGGAGAATGGGGCGGGGTGATGGAAAGCGGGAGAATGGGGCGGGGTGATGGAAAGCGGGAGAATGGGGCGGGGTGATGGAAAGCGGGAGAATAAGGCGTGGTGATGGAAAGCGGGAGAATTGGGCGGGGTGATGGAAAGCGGGAGAATGGGGCGGGGTGATGGAAGGAGGGGGAATGGGGCGGGGTGATGGAAAGCGGGAGAATGGTGCGGGGTGATGGAAAGCGGGAGAATGGGGCGGGGTGATGGAAAGCGGGAGAATGGGGCGGGGTGATGGATAGCGGGAGAATGGGGCGGGGTGATGGAAAGCGGGAGAATCGGGCGGGGTGATGGAAAGCGGGAGAATGGGGTGGGGTGATGGAAAGAGGGAGAATGGGACGGGGTGATGGAAAGCTGGAGAATGGGGCGTGGTGATGGAAAGCGGGAGAATGGGACGGGGTGATGGAAAGCGGGAGAATGGGGCGGGGTGATGGAAAGCGGGAGAATGGGGCGGGGTAATGGAAGGAGGGAGAATGGGGCGGGGTCATGGAAGGAGGGAGAATGGGGCAGGGTGATGGAAAGCAGGAGAATGGGGAGGGGTGATGGAAAGCGGGAGAATGGGGCGGGGTGATGGAAAGCGGGAGAATGGGGCGGGGTGATGGAAAGCGGGAGAATGGGGCGGGGTGATGGAAAGTGGGGGAATGGGGCGGGGTGATGGATAGCGGGAGAATGGGGCGGGGTGACGGAAAGCGGGAAAATGGGGCGGGGTGATGGAGAGCGGGAGAATGGGGCTGGGTGATGAAATGCGGAAGAATGGGGCGGGGTGATGGAAAGCAGGTGAATGGGGCGGGGTGATGGAAGGAGGGAGAATGGGGCGAGGTGATGGAAGAAGGGAGAATGGGGCGGGGTGATGGAAAGCGGGAGAATGGGGCGGGGTGATGGAAAGCGGGAGAATGGGGCGGGGTGATGGAAAGCGGGAGAATAAGGCGTGGTGATGGAAAGCGGGAGAATTGGGCGGGGTGATGGAAAGCGGGAGAATGGGGCGGGGTGATGGAAGGAGGGGGAATGGGGCGGGGTGATGGAAAGCGGGAGAATGGTGCGGGGTGATGGAAAGCGGGAGAATGGGGCGGGGTGATGGAAAGCGGGAGAATGGGGCGGGGTGATGGATAGCGGGAGAATGGGGCGGGGTGATGGAAAGCGGGAGAATCGGGCGGGGTGATGGAAAGCGGGAGAATGGGGTGGGGTGATGG